AGAGAGTTAAAAAATTCTCAGATTAGTATTCTTTGGTATAGTGCTATGCTCTATTATGTGGCTAAAGGTGTGGACCTTTGAGCTGGGGGTACAGTTCAGTGGCAAAGTGAAAGTGTTGCATTCAATTTCCTAGTAACACACCCGTGTGCACACACAAAGGACATAGTCTCTAAGGCAGATTTTGATGAGTTGGAATCCTGGCTTAGCAATTTACTTAGTGACTTGGGAAGAGCTACTAAACTTCTGTGCCTTAGTTTCCTCATCTGTAAAATACAGATGATAACTGAACTCATTTCACATCATTATTAGGAGAGTTAAGTAAGTTAATGAAATAGTTTGAAAAATAAGCACTATTGTATTTGCTATAATTATTACCAAAATAAAGAATTTACACTAGCCAGTTATGGTGGTGAATGTGTGTAATTCTAGCACTCAGGAGGCTGAGACAGAAGGACTGCAAGTTGAGGCTAGCCTGGAATACACAGCATGACCCTGTCTTAAAAAAACCTAAAAAAATAAAAAAGAATTTACACCTGAGAGTTGTTGTCCTGGTAATCCAAAGATTTGAAAGAGTAAAATTTACAAGGATAGCCACTATTCATGCCTGTAATCCCAGCACTTGGGAGGCGGAGGCAGGAAGATGGAGAGTTGTATAGAGTTGCTACATAGCAAGTTCCAGTCTGAACTTCATAGTGAGACCCTATCTCAAAAAGCCAAATCTAACCACCACCAAAATAATGTTTTAATCTTGCAGATATTATTATTATTTTTGGTGGGACTGGAGTTTGAATTCAGGGCTTTGTACTCACAAAGCAGGCGTTCTACTGTGTGAGTTGTACCCCCAGTCCATTTTGCTCTAGTTATTTTTGAGATAGGGTCTTGCAAACTATTTGCCTTTACTGGCCTTGATCTGTGACGCTCTCAATCTCAGCCTCCCAAGTGGCTAGGATTACAGGTGTGAGCCACTGGCACCAGGCTGCAGATTTTTTTTTCTTTGCGATACTGGGGCTTGAATGCAGGGCCTTCACCTTGAGCCACTCTGCCAGCCCCGCCCCCTGCCTTTTTTTGTGATGGGTATTTTTGAGATAGGGTCTTGCCAACTGTTTGCCCGGACTGGCTTCAAACTGCGATCCTCCTGATCTCTGCCTCCTAAGTAGCTAGGATTACAGACCTGAGCCACCAATGCCTGTCCTGGGTGCAGATATTAAAGTTGGCCATATTTAACAACTTATTTTTTAAAAAATGCACCACTTCTTTAAGAGAGAACTACAATTAAACTATCATGAAAAAAGGGTATGTAACTAATTTTGAAACCTTTAAGGGAAGATAATTTGGGAATTATTGTTTATAACCCATCCTAGAACCAATCTTCTCATCATTTTAAATACAGTAAAATGCTGCATAGTCGATGGTGGTCCTGTAAGATTAAATTGCCTGGTCAAGTTGTAGTCTTAGTTTGTGTCAGCACAACTTATGATGTTCGCACCATGTACTGTCTCTGCATTGAACTTCAAGATAGAGATAAAAAGGTAAATGGAGAAGGAATTGTTAAATTGTTAAGATACAGTTGTATTCTGATTACAAATGAACCTATTCACTGCTGTAACTGAAAGAAACCAAGCGGTTCTATATATGTGAGACAAATTCTCCTGACAGGACCAAGTCTGAGTAAAGCTACTACTCCAAACTATATCACATATTCCAAAATTAATTTTGCTTAAGAATATAAGAATGTTGGATATATAAGTTCTGGAAATAACTTGGTTATGCATCCCACTGATTCTTCCCATTTATTCCTTCATAAATTTCAGTGTTCTCTGAGCAGAACGCCTTGCTGTTCTGCTAATGATATTATGTCTTCTGTGGCAATGATAGAACTATAGAAGTATTTTTCTTGAACAGATGTGACAAAAAGTAGACTCAGAGTTCATAAAATTATATAGCTCAACATGCCACTCGCTTTCCTATACAACCATTTTATTTTATTTATTGTTCTGGGGAACAAGTCGAAGACATGATAGTGTTCAAGGAGACAGCCATTTTTTTTCCCTCTATATACTTAGCACAGGGGGTGCTGTCATAAAAAGTATAAATGGCCTATAGTGCTCAGATTTCCTTAAGGAAATGATGTTTTGAAAATCACTGAGGGACAGTGTGATTCTAATTCTACCTAAAGCTGCAATAGCATAGCCAGAACAGATCTTCTTTATCTCTCATGTTATCCTTGGAATTATTTTCCATACTATTTATTGTTTCAGGAAACCTGGGTAGGCATGGCAAAGAAAAATCCAGGGGGATACAGCTACCAAAAATTCAGAGAAGCTGACCCAAAAACTTCACTTCTATACCCAAATTTACACACACACACACACTTCCACATAAAAAATAAGTTTAGGAGCAGAGGTGTGGCTCAAGTGGTAGAGTACCTGCTTTGCAAGCATGAAGTCCTAAGTTCAAAGCACAGTCCCACCAAAAATAAACAAATAAGTCTATAAAGATACATACACTAAAATCTCTCTCTTTGATGATATTGGCATCTAAACTCAGGGCCTAATGCTTGATAGGCAGGCACTCTACCACGTGAGCTATACCCCTATCTCCCACGCAGAAATCTTGAGAGCACTTTTGTTTTTTTAAGTTTATTTCCTTAGAGGAGATACATAGAGGAGGAATTACTGGTCAATATATATGAACTTGGAAGACTGAGTATGAATCAACAGCAGTTTTCTGAGTGGTGGAATTATGAGTAATTAAAAAAATTGTATGCTTGTCAGTATTCTCTAATTTTTCCATTTTTCAAGTCCTACACATGTAGGACTTGAGTAATAATTAGGAAAGGTATTAAAAAGTTTTCCAAAAGTTGTAAGTTCTATCATATATTGGGAAAATAACTATGCCAAATATGAATGCTGTTGGAGCAAAGCAAGTAACAGTGATATAATTTTATGCTTCAAACCAAGAAGCTGACTTCAACTGTATAAGAGAGGTTAAAAAATGTACTCTATACTTTTTTTTTTTTTTGGCACTACTAAGGGTTGAACTCAGGTGCTCTATTACTTGAGCCATGGCTCCAACCCTTTTTACTTACTTATTTTTCAGATAGGTCTCACATTTTTGTTGAAGCCAGCCTTACATGTGGTCCTCCTATCTATGTCTCCTAGTAGCTGGGACCATGCCTGATTTGTTGGTTGAGATGGAGTTCTCACTAACTTTTTGTTTGGGCTGGGTTTGAACTGCAATCCTCCCAATTTCCACCTCCCAAGTAGCTGGGATTACAGGCATGAACTGTCACACTAGCTGCTTATATGCCTCTTGATTTTTCTTCAAACTTTACTTTCCACTCCACGATCATTTTAACACTTCCTCAAGTTTTACTCTTTAGATGGAAAAAGGCAAATGACTAATACTTTGGATACTTTTTTTTCTTGCAAAATCTGTATACCTAATAGTATACCTGATGGTCCTTTAATGTTTTAAACACTGAAAATTCTGTTTTAAAATCCCATCTACTTCTAACTCTTCTCACTTATCCCAATATTCAAATATCCGACATTTAGGAAAGTAAAATTAGGATAGGCATTCCCTTTCTCCTCTTAGCAAAAAAGTAAAAAAAAAAAAATATATATATATATATTTATCTATGTATGTATAGACATACATACACACATACATACATACGCATGTGTGTATATTTACTTATATTCTTTTAAAAACATAGTTATGTTCTATACATAATGTACAGAACAAAACACTCTAGATATAGAGGCCATTACCTTAAAATGATTACTAGATTCAAATCCTGGAAATGCAGCTTACCACATAAACGTATTCCACCACAAGAAATCAATAATTTTCAAAGCTGGTAAAAATATCAATTCTACTTTTTTTTTTTAAATAGAGGTTACAGTAGATTGATACAGTACAGAAATATTTAATTTCAACTGGACTGCTATTAAGCTTACCTTACAGCTTTATTAATTCTGATTTCTTGTGTGTTTCAGTGGTGAGCTGCATTTCCTGAGTCTCAGCGAACTTCCCAGCAGGAATTCCAGTCTGATGAAGAATCAGCAAAAGGAAGTCCTCACTGAGAGACATGCTGGTATCATTCACTGAGTGGAAACAGTGAAAGAGTAACATATTTCTAAAGGCAATTCACATTATTAATATATATATATTTACATAGTAAATACAGATTTAACTTCCCATGGTAGAAGAAAGGATTAACTTTCTTCAAAAACCTGAGTTTCTTACAAAGTGTTTGGTCTTACCCTGCGCCTACTACAGGTGATACTCATTCACCACAGTTCAGCCCTTAAATGTCTTTTTAAAACACAAAACAAAAACACCTTTAAGTCTTGATTTGAGCAATAGTGATGACACACCTAGCAGCAACACTGTGATCTTAGAGAAGAAAAAAGAAAGTTAATGAAATAAACCTTTGTTGATTTTCTTTGCATCACTTTATCAATTGGGACTGACCACTTCTCAAAGTAGTAACAAACAGATCTGGAAATCTTGCTTAATTTATATAGAAGTATTTTTTTTAAAGAAAAATTTGAAACAAACATTTAACATTTTCAGAAAAACCCATATTTTCTAAAATGCCTTCAACACAGTAGTCCACAAGAATCAGTAGTTAGAACACAGTTCTAGAAACTATAACTTAGAAAGTAACAGAACTTTCCTTAAAGTTCAGAAAGTTTTTCACTACTTACATGTTTTTCACTACTTTTTTAAAATAAGATTTATTGTATTTATTGTTCTATACTTGTTATCAATATAGTACCAGAAGCCACATGTAGCTATTTAAGTTTAAACTAATTAAAACAAACAAAAAACCCTTCCGTTCCTCAGTTAGATTACCAAAATTATTAGTGTACAACAATCACATGTAGCAGCATGGATCTAGAACGTTTTCAATACCGCAAAAACTTTTAATGGATAGCATTATTACAGACAAAGCATCAAAATGGTGAGGCAGTTGTTATGGTTAAACTTACCTGGACTGAGGAGGTGAGGGTGTGTAACAGGACTGGGCTGGCCTAAGTATCGGTTTGGAATCCTCCTCTTTGGCACAGGCTGGAGGGAATACCTTCGCTGTAAACACAACACGCATCCTGAAGAATAAGGAGAATGAAATGAATAGTGGATCTACAAAGTCTTCATAGTATTCATACATTTACGAACTTACAGCAGTTTGGATGTTAGAAAATGCAAGTTAGCATTTCCAGACTTCTGCCTGTATTTTTGTGGCTCTTTCTCTATGCCAGAGCCTATGCTGGGCCCTAGGAAAACAGAAACCAGATTATCTTTACCCTCAGAGACTTTAGACTGCTATAGTACAATGGAAACACAGATACAGAATACATAAAATAAAGGCATGAACAAGAACAGAAGAAAACAAAAGCAAGAGAGGCGTCAGGAAGGAGTTTATAGAGGTAGCCTGAGGCAATGTCCTAAAATTTAGGAAAACCCAGCTTTGCAGGGGCATTAGGTGGAAGGGAGGATTCTAGTCGGAGGCCAGTGCCAGGCCAATGGGGGGCGGGGGGGAAGGTGAGACCCTATTTGGAAAGTAAATAAAGTAAAAAAGGGCTTGGGGACATGGCTCAATTGGGCAAGAACCCATCTCAACAACAAAAAAGCTGGATGTGGTTGTTTTCGCCGATCATCCCACTTATTCAGGGAGCATAGTAGAATTGTGGTCCAGGCCGGCCTGGACAAAAATGTAAGACCCTATCTCAAAAACAACCGAAGCAAAAGGGTTGGGGTTCAAGTGGTAGAGCACCTGCCTAGAAACTTAGAAACCTGAGGCTCTGAGTTCAAACTCGAGGATTAAAAAAAAAAAAAAAAAAGTTGATAATTCAGCATCTGGGAGGTTGAGGCAGGAGGCTTAGGCGTTCAAGGTCAGCCAGGGCTACAACAGACCCTGTCTCAAAAAACAAAAAAAAGATACGAACACTTAGAAAAAAGCTTGTCTTGGTAAGCCAAAATGATTTTACTGCTGTCTGGGTTAAATGGTGGCCTAAAAAGATAACGTAATGTTCTGATCTCCAGAATCTGTGGCTGTTACTTTATTTGGAAAAAGAGTCATTATAGATGTAATCAAGGATCTTCAAGGGGATGGTGGCAGGGGGGAGAAATGACACAAGCCTTGTGTGCACATATGAATAATAAAACAATAAAAAAAATGAACTAAGACAAAGAAAAAAAAAAAGGATCTTCAGATGAGAAGATATAGATTATCCTGGATTACTTGGGTGGGCCCTACATCCAAAGACAAATGGCCTTATAGGAGAAAGATGGCAGATTTGAAACAGAAGAGAGGGTAAGCCAGAAAAGGGACAAACAATGAGACCAAAGGCAGAGCCTGAAGTGATGTAGCCAAGAAACCCAAGAACATATATAGCTACCATAAACTGGGAGATGCAAAGATTGTCCCTAGAGCCTTTGGAGGGTACGCAGTCCTGCTGATCCCTTCCTTTTGGACTTCAACTGCTTTAAACTGCAAATCTGTGGTAATTTGTTATGGAAGCCTCAGGGAACTAATCCAGTGACCTACTAAAATGACAATTTACTGAATGAAAAGTTGCTGTACTAAAAGTTTCTGTCTCTAAAAAGTCAGCTTCAGCTGGGACAAAGGGGGAGGGTAGACGTCTTCAATAATTTTTAAGAGTATAAAGGGATTCTGAGAGTAACCTCTGCCCTATTCAAACACAAGATTCTTCACATTTGTGTTTCTTGAAGAAAAGAGGGCACAGGAAAGAGATTAATAGTAATTGTGTAAGAACATGGTGGAATGCAGTGGTATGAAGAAAAGGGAAAAGGAAGTTTATCATAACTAGCTCAGCTTTTTTCACTTGTAGGTAAACTCTTGCCTCAGTCACAGCTCATATAAGATAGGCTTAGCTTTATCTTTCCTTATTACAACAGTCAAGGCACAATATATTTGATACTTTCAAACTGCAGCTGGTCAATTATTATTTCTTGTTGTTTTCTATTTTTGAGATAGGGTCTTACTATATAGACCAGACTAGTCTTGAACTTACAATTCTCTTGCCTCAGCATCCCAAGTGTTGGGATTACAGGTATGTACCACCATGTCTAGTTTACCAATACTTTTTTTTTTAAATGCTTAGATGAAATAAAACTAGCATACCCAATCCTACTTTGGACCACTTCAAGCACATGAAGCTTAACTGTAACAAATTCAAAGCAAACAATATTTACAGTTTATTATTAGTAACCTAAAAACAGTATCTCCTTAGAGTTGTACTTATGTTCAAGTAAACAGACTGTTTACCCAAGGTCATGTAATTAGTAGTGAAGTAGTTAAGCTCTACTTTTAAAATATTCAATTTACTCTCAACACAATTTCCTTAGTTTAGGCCCTCCTCACCTTGCCTGGACTATGGTAATAGTCTCCTAACTGATATGCCTGTCATAGGTTTTAGTCTTGTCTTTACTTTACTTTTTTTTTTTTTTTTTGGTTTGTTTTTGCGACAAGGTCTTGCTACAGTCCCCAGGCAGGCCTCAAACTCAGGATTCTCCTTGCTTCAGCCTCCCAAGTGCTGGTATTACAGTTGTCCATGCCCTATTTGTGTCTTTTCAACTCATCCTCTACAGGCTACACAATTTCCAAAGTGATCTCTCTAGTCCTTTGCCTTAAAAATTTTGCCTATTAAATCAGATTTAAATTCTAGGATCTGTCCCAACTTTCTAGCCTCCCAGGCTAATAGTATATGTTTACAATTTTCTATCTTTCAGAATAAACTTTAAACTTTTTAGCTTAGTACCTTCTATGATCTGGACACTGCCCACCAGACCAACCTTTCTCAAGAAACACTGCAGTCACACAAAACTATTTACAGAGCCCCAGCAATAATTCTGTATCATTAACAGTACTTGACTTCAAAAATGTAGTTTATCCTAAATGGACTTCACCCACTTCTTTGCACTGCACAATTTCCACAATTTAAACTGTCTTTACTCATGCAGGAAACCTTCTGTCACACTCTCTGCCCACACTGCTACTGATACAGCTGCTCATCTGCAGTGGGCCTATGATGATTTCTACTGAGGTATCTATCACACTGTGCATAATTACTAGTTAGTTTATGAGGCTACTTTAAACTTTTGGAAGGCAAGGATCATTTGTTATTTGACTTTGTTTTCCCAGTAATTAAATTTGAGATATACAAATTGAAAGTAAAAGATGCAGAGAGTAAATAAAACAGAAATTAAGGATGGTTCCTAAGCTTTTGTCCTCAACCAGTGGGTAAATGGTGGCACTATTAAATGAAATGGAAAATACTGAGATTACTGGGAATTACTAAGGATGTCTGAAATTGGGGGGAGGAAGTGACAGACTAGATATAGAAATTAAGGTGTCATATGCACACAGATGGTATCTGAGCCCTGTATCTGGAGTACTGAGTAAAGTCTAACACTACAATATTTTAGCATGACAAGGAAAAGCACAGGAGAAAGGAAGAAAGCTAGAAGAATATAGTATTTAGGAAGTTAAAGAGACAAAAGTGTTTTAAAAAGGAGAGGCCCCAAACTGTGACAAGTGCTTCAAAATATGAGGAAGCCAAAAGGACAACCACTGGATTTTTTTAAACGTGAAAGAACTGCCAAGAACAGTTTTAGCAGAGTATAGAAGATGGAAGCCAAGTATGTAAGAAAGCACGGATTCCAAGACAACAATACCGAGAAGTTTTATTGTGAAGGAGTCACAGAAAATGAGAGCAGCTGGGAAGGGTGAGGGATCAAGGGACAGAGGATAATTAGAAAATATAACCTGGCGTTACACTTTTATACTCTACTAAAGTTAGTCTTCTCAAATTACGAGAGTTTCTTGGGAGCAGGTTTTTCCCACTTTCTAACTCCTCTCTGTACCGTAGGTTCTCCATTTCTGTTTGTAAAAGTCCTGGTCCTAGAAATACAGTAGAGTGGTAACAGGAGAATTTGACATTATGTTCAAATTTAAATCAGATTAAAAAAAAACTTACAAGCTATGTAACCTTAGAATCTCAACTTCTCATAGGCATATTTATTTTGCCCGAATACTGTGTCAACTAAATGAAAAACTACAACTAAATCACCTGTTACAGTGTTCATAGCGTACTATGAATTTTAAATACTTCACAATACCTCTTCACAATCAGTCTATCAAAATAAATGCAAAGCAGCCTGGAAAGACTATCTGGAAACATATACTACCATTTTGTATTTATTATCATCTAACTGAGGTGTTTATAAATGTGACAGAGAGCAAAACAGATAAAAATAGAAGAGGAAAAACACAGACAGACTGATATATGGAATTATCTAGGACAATGAAATGAACTAGGAGTAGAATATAAATCTTTTAAATTCAAGTTAACCTATTAACAATTTAAATTATTACCTTCCCCCAATGAAAACTTTGATCTTATTTATTTCTAATTGGGCTCTTTCATTCTACTGTTCCACATAAAACTGATTATCCACATAGCACTTAGTGATTCATTAAAAAAGTAAATCAGATCATGAAACCTTCATAACTACGGAATGCAGTGGTACATGCCTATAATCTCAGCAGAGGCAGGAGAGTCATGAGTTAAGAGGCCAGTCTGGGCCACACAGAGACACCATCTCAAAAGCAAAACAAAACAAACCAAAACAACAAATACACAACAACAAAAACCCTCCTGCATATCTCCCACCCCATGGCTGTCTGCTGTATGTGAAATAAATACTAGCTTTATTTGGAATAGCCCCTAAGCTGGAAACATCAAGTACCCACCAGACTACTTTGTCATTTAGGTCTCAGCTCTAATGTCATCTCCTCCAGAGCCTTCTAAAACCAAGCTACACTAGTTTCTCTCCCCCATCATCGCATTAATTTTTTTTTTTAATCACATATTGCACTATCTTGAAATGTTATGTATTTCTTATTTGACCTCTTATAAGTATCATGAAAATTGGTAACTTTTGTTCAATATTGTTATTGCCAGTGGCTAAAACTGTGCCTTGCACAAAGTAGGCATTCAATAATTATATATTGAATATATAATTGCCCAACTTTCAAATCCTTGCCTGTATCTTTTCAGGCACAGGCAAGCACTCTAATGTTTGAGCCATACCTGGAGCCCTTTACCTACATTTTCAGGTGTAAACTTTAGGTGGGCACAGGTACCATTATCTCAAATGACTCACCACTGACATGAAGAAAGCTCACACTATTAGGCCACTTCCTCAAGGAAGCCTTCTGCCACTCCAGTCTAGGAGTGTGTTCATTCAATTGGTTAGTATACAGCGATTCCTCCATCATAGGCCTTATATTGTAATTGAATTACTTGTATCTCCTGCTGAACTCTTAAGTCTCGTTTGGAGTCAACGAATTATGTCAACTGCTTGAATACTTTTTTTACATTGTTTCCTAAGTCTTCTATTTTTTCCTAAACCAAAACATGGGAGAACTGGGAAGTAATTAAGGCTCAGGAATCTGGAGGTCATATTATGCAAGAGGGATGCTGTAGCCATTAGTGACAGATCCCACTGGTTTATAAGGCATTGTCTGAGACTTCCAGTGAAATATAGGAGGCATAGTATAGAGGGTTCAGGATGGTATGACTCTAGACATGCTCCATTTGAAAAGTCTAGTCCCTATCCCTACCCCAGAATGACAACATAATCCAGCCATCTCTGACATAAGCTTGTAACTCTGTTTGCCACATAATCAGTTTTGATGTTTCCTAGCAGTGGTATATGGAAATATTGCCTTCAATGTAAAAATGTGCCTACTTGCAGTCACTGCCTCTACCATCCCCACCACCCCCAGCAGAGCCTGAGCTGCAAGGAAATTATAGTGCTCATTACCCAGTGCATTTGTTTCCAATAATCTGTTAAAGCATGGTGGATTACTATGAAGTTCTAGGAGTGCAGAGATATGCCTCACCTGAGGACATAAAAAAAGCTTACCGTAAAGTGGCACTTAAATGGCACCCTGATAAAAATCTAGAAAATAAAGAAGAAGCAGAGAGAAAATTCAAAGAAGTAGCGGAGGCATATGAAGTATTATCAAATGATGAAAAACGGGACATTTATGATCAATATGGCAAGAAAGGATTAAATGGCAGAAGTGGAAGTCATTTTGAGGATGAATGTGAGTATGGGTTCACATTCCGTAAGCCAGATGATGTCTTTAAAGAAATGTTTGGTGAAAGGGACCCATTTTCATTTCACTTCTTTGACGATTCACTTGAGGACCTTTTAAATAGTCCAAGAAGCTCCTATGGAAGAAGCAGAGGTGCAGGATCCTTTTTCTCTACTTCCAGCGAACATCCAGTTTTTCAGAGACTTTCTTCCTACGATACAGGATATACACCATATGGTTCACTGGGGCATGAAGGTCTTACTTCATTCTCTTCCCTGGCATTTGATGACAGTGACATGGGAAACTACATATCTGTTACAACCCCAGGCAAAATTGTTAATGGCAGAAAGAGTCATAGAAAGAATATTACTGAGAATGATCAAGAAAGAGATGTTGAAGATGACAACGAGCTGAAATCCTTCCTTGTAAATAGTGTGGTAACTGAAGAGGGCTTTGCAGAAGGATGCAGCTGGAGAGGACAGCCATTCAATAATTATTCACCAAGTCTCTACAGCTCCAAACATGTATCTCAGTATACTTTGGGGGACAATTATCAGCAAGGTAAACCCTGGGTCACCAGCAACTGTCATCCTATTTTCTCAGCAGGATACAAAGAAGGTGGTAAGAGGAAAAAAAAGAAACACAAAGAGGTACAGAAGAAGAAGTCAACCAAAAGGAATCGCTAAATTGACTCTTCAGACACATTATAATCTATAACATTTGAACACGACCTCTTTGTGTGTTTGGGTTAATCAGAGTTTTCCAGATAACATTTGTTTACTATCATCTAAAGGTACACCTTAACATTTTAAGCAGGATTGTGGACATTTGGTCTAGTAGTTTGGATTAGGTATTTCAAAAAAAGATAAGATTGTGGTAACACTTGGTGACTACGGAAAACTGCAAAGATTTTTTGTTTTTGAGCTGTTTGCATTATAAACTCTTCAGGAGAGTTTATAATCTATTTCATTACTTTTGTCTAATCAAAGCCATTATACAACTATTCACAAAATGAGTTTTTTCTTGGAGGCAGAATATTTGATACCTAACTTAAAGACACAAGTTAAAAATTAAAGTTTATTTTCTTTTAAGTTAAAAATACCAGACATATTTGTACAAACAGGTTTGTAGCAGTACTATTCACAAGTCAAGAGGTGGAACCAGCCCAAATGTCCATCATCAAGTAAACAAAATATGGAATATTATTCAGCCTTAGAAAGAAAATCCTGTCATATGCTACAACATGGATGAGTACTCAAGACATTATGCTAAGCCAAATTAAGCCAGTCAGTCACAATCATACTGTATGAGTCACAAAATAAGGTAGTCAAATTCATAGAAGTGGGTTAGGAGGAAGGGGGAAAAGAGGTATTTAATGGGTACAAAGTTTAGATTTTTATGAAAATGTTCTGGAGATCTGCTTCATAACATGAGAATACTAAAACTATTAAATTGTACATTTAAAAATGGTTAAGATGAATTTTACCACAATTTTTGGTAGTACTAGAATTTGAATTCAGGGCCTAGTACTTGCTAGGCAAACACTACTACAATATTTGCTAAAAAGCCAGTATTATCTAGGAGTCCTCAGAACAATCTGGCTATATCATGTGTGGCAAGCCATCAGTCTATTTTTGTTTTAAGTTTGTACAAAGGATTTACAAAGGCATCACTATAGAATACCTATAGCAATTTTAAATAGGATGATGTTGAGAGAGATATAGTTGAGTTACAAATACATAAGATATCAAGCAAATGGTTTATGCTAAATAAGTTGCACGCATTTGCTTCTTGTAAATGAACTAACATTGATTTCAATACGATTACTTCTTATCTCTCTGTAATACTTCATTTTCAAGATATAGTTTGTCAATCTTTTATTTTTATTCATTCTTTCATTCATCCAAAATTATTTTTAAGTACCTACTATCTGTTAGACCATGTTGTAGGTATGTGGGGCATAGCAGTAAACAAAATCTTAGCTGTCAGTTTTCAAACTGAAGATAGACAATAAAAAGCAAATGTTAAGTAAACTACAATCTGCTAGTCAATTTTTTTTCTTTTTTAGGTGCTAAAAAAAGAGGTAAGAGCACAGAAATTTTAGGGCACAGCATCATAATTTACAGTATTGTAAAGTATCTAAGGGAAAAAGTATCTAAGGAAAGTGATCTAAATGAAGTGAGGTAATCAGCCACATAGCTATATGGTGAAGGAGAATTCTGGGCAGAGAGACCAGCAGGTGCAATATCCCTAAGGCAGTGAGGAACACTGAGAAGATCAGTGTAGCAGACTAAGACAGCAAATGGATGAAAGTCAGAGACATTATAAGGAAGTTAGATTATGCAGAGAATACTAGATCACAGTATGTATGCTGGCTGTTACATGGAGGATAGGAAGCCACTTGGAGTTGTTGAAGAAAGCAGTAACATAATGTGACATATTTAAGCAGGACCTTCTCAAAAAAAGCAAGGATAGAAGCAGGGAAATCAGGCTACTGCCACAATCCAGGTAACAAATTATAGTAGCTTGGTCCAACGTGATTAACACTGAGAGTAGTTAAGAGTGATAAAATTGAGGATATATTCAAAAGGTAGGGTCAAACAAGATCTGTTGACAGGATGATAGAGAGGAGCTGAGGGTTACAAGGTTTTTGACACAACATAGCAACTAGAAGAATGGAATCGCCATTAACTGAGATAGGAGTACAGATGTTAAATTTAGGATCTGCTGGAATTTATTAAGCCCTGAAAAGAATCTCCTGTGTGATTTGCATTCTGCATGTTCCCTTCATTGAATTCTTCCTTTTTAATAAAAATCTATTTATCGTATCCTTTTACTTTTTTATCTCTTAGAAATGTAATCATTGTAAATTCTGGGCAAGCAAATTATGACCGAGCCACCAGCCCAAAATTATTCTAATGTAACTGAAGGTTGTAAGGAAATAATCTAGCAGCACTAAAATCCAATCACCTTTGAACAAATACAAACACAAATTGGCTTAAGTCAGAAAAAAAGTATAGTATCTACTATTTTTAAATGACTTCTATAGTAAAATATGAGCTCTTTTTGTGGAACTGGGGTTTGAATTCAGGGCTTTGTGCTTGTAAAGCAGACACTATACCCCTTGAGCCACACCTCTAGTCCATTTTGTTCTGGGTATTTTGGAGAGGGGGGTCTCGTGAACTATTTGTCCAGGCTGGTCTTAAACCACAATCTTCCCAATCTCAGCCTTCCAGGTAGCTAGGATGACAGATGTGGGCCACGAGAGCCCAGCCAAGTATGAGTTTCTGTATTGCTTTTTCCTGGATAGGTATGTATGAAGGAAAACTAATCTATTTTTTTAGGAGGGATTGAGGTCAACTAGCATTTAAGGTTATTTTCAGAAAATAAAACGATAAAAAACTTGAGTATTTTAAGTGCTGCTTTTTAACAATGTGGTATTTTGTAGGATTCATCTATTTTCATATATGTGGTATTAAAGATGGAAAAAAAAACCCTAATTTTCCAAAACCAATCCCAATGCTTCAGAAAATGTAAGAACACAAGGACATGCCCTCCAGTCCATTTCTCCACTCTTTTTTTCGGGGGGTCTGAAACTCTTTTATTTTTTCCTCTTTTACTTATTTATTTTTTTTGTTGTGCTATGTGGAGGTACATTGTAGTATTTACAAAAGTTTTTACATTATATCAAATGTATCATACTTGAATTCACAACCTCCACCATTCTCCTTTATCCCCCCTCCCCATTTCTCCACTCTTAACAGATAATTAAAAATTCAGATTTAGTCATCTTACTCAGTAACTTAAACGTCTTCAATGGTTTCCTATTTTCTAGAACAAAAAACCTGTTTCTTAACATAATTTACATGGCCCTCTATGAGTCAACTACTAGTTTTTTCCCCCAAAGTGATTTCATCCATTCATCTATCTATCTATCTATCTATCTATCTATCTATCTATCTATCTATCTATCTTTGACAGCAGTGAGGTTTGAACTCAGGGCCTCATACTTGCTAAGCAGGTGCTCTTGAGCCACTTGAGCACTCCACCTGTCCCAGGTGATCTTCTATCACCTCTTTATATACATCTTATGCTAGAGACAACTTCTTCCAAAAATGTGTTCAGAAATCCTAGTTCACGGTGCAATATACTTTGCAAATTACAGCTAAATTCATCAGACTACTACGGAGACTATGAATTACAACATCATATTTGACCCTACACAAAATCATTTCCATAAAAGAGCTATTAATATGCCCAAGAGCATATTTCAAAAAAACTTCCCCAGCCATACCACATGATTGCAATGCTTACTACCCACCATTCTGCTTTTAAGAGTTCTGTGCTTTGGATATGTTCCCTCTGCCAGGATTGCTCCTTTCATCTAGTCTGCTTAGTGAGAGGCTTTGAAGTCTTAGATCAAATCCATCCTAATCTTAAAAATGTGCCCACATTTACTCTCTGCTCCCCAAAAATATCTATTACAATTTCTTTCTCCACATCATTGGACCTTTATTACTATATCCAGTATATTACAATTATTTGTCTTTCTATATGCCAACTTTTTACACTCAATTTTCATATTTGGCACTCAAGGTTTGTTGAATGAACTATTATTTGCAAACTATCTTAAGCACAGCCAGGTGTGGAATTCAAGCACCTGGTTTAGAATTTTAAAATTCTAAAAATAAATCCCAGAATAACATAGTATTTACAATGCATTACTGTCTTTTCTACTTATTAAACAAATTTTTTTTCAGGACTTCTCTTTCCCATATCAGACTCATTATATATCTTAAATGATTTGATCTTCTAAAATACAATTTACTTATGCATTGCTAGTACTTTATTTTGCTTGTTCTCAGATAACTAGATGATGATAAGAGCATATTCCATCTAATAAACTCTCCCTTAATTAGGTTAACCTTTAGTAACATTTTTCAGGGCTGTGGGTGTAGCTTAGTGGTAGTGAGTGCTTAGTTAATGCCAGACTCTGGCTTCAATACCCATAACCAAAACACAAACAAACCCCCTCCAAACTTTCACTTTAGCAATGTATAACTTTCTCAGATTAGAAAATTTCCTTTTTGGGGGGGGGGGAAGACTGGGTTTGAGCTCAGGGCTTTGCGTTTGCAAAGCTGGTATTCTACTGATTGAGCCATACCTCCAGTACATTTTGCTCTGGTTATTTTGGATATGGGGTCTCCTCTACTATTTACCCAGGCTGGCCTTAAACTGCGATCTTCTGGATCTCAGCCTCTCAAGTAGCTAGGATTATAGGAAGGAGCCACCCGTGCGCCCAGCTCAGATGAGAACATTTCTAATAGTCAAAACTCTATACCCAGACCCTTTCTAAAGAAGAGCAACCAAATTCTAGCACTTGTAAAATTCCCAAGATAACATAATACAATGCCAGTACAGCCTTTCCTGAGGACCCACGTGACCTAGGTCAAGACTATTATCAAGCTTGGCTATAATGCCATTTGTTGCTTGTCTGCTTTGATTAGACTGAGAGCAAATCCAAGGAAGTGGAAATCCATCCACAATGACTACTAACTCAAAAGTTACTGTATCAAAATGCATTTTTTTCTCCCTTGCACAATGAATAAATAGTTCCAAAAGGGCTCTATCAAACCAGGGTAAGACTCTGGTGTAACAGTAAAAAGTACTAGACATATACAACTAAAATTCCTGACTTATTACTTCTGTATCAGTTCTTCATTGGTAAAATATCTGCCCTAACTTACTGGGCTTGTGAAGATTCAAGATCTCATTCACTGAGTTAAAAAGCCAATAGATATGTAAATGGTAACATAAGAACTAATCTGGCTTTTTCTATGGAAGCAAAACACAATGAACATTTTTCTGAAATACTTTATGTGTATTATTCAGTACATAGTCCTAAAACTGCATCAGTCAAGAAAACCAAAGTCATATGCAAAGGATAGTTCTGGTCAAATGCCCATCTATCCTCACTTATTCTCACCAGTGGAACAGACTTCCCCATGCAGTTTAACTGCTAGAATTGAAGAGCAAGTTCTGTGTACTGGGCAATTAATTTTTTATAGAAAATAAGTCGATATAAAAAATCAATTTTCAACGAATCCAAGTAAAATCATCATAAACATATGCCAAAATAGCTTTGATATCAAATACTATAATTTCTGGCTCACACATTGGCCCCCAAAACTGAAATATGATTCAAGGGCAGATTCGCTTCTAAGGTAGATCGTTCAGTTTTCACTGTTTAAATTTTATGTTCATCAGGTTAATTGCTCGCCGTATCGTACCAAAAAAAAAAAAAAGTTGTTCCCCCTTCTTTTCCTAGGCTCCTTCACCTTGTATTTACAAAAAAAAAGATTTCAGACACAAATGCCCCGAGAGTACTTCCAAACATTAACTCTTCGGAGAGGAGCTGCACAAAGGACTTGTATTAGTAAATGTGTTTCTTGTACGTTCGGGAGCCAGCTCTAGAATCAACGCTTTGAAAACACGAAAATAAGGTTTTATGTTGATCTAACCGAAACGAGAGTTACTTGGACGTGGAACACTTTGTCACCTGAACAAATGTAACTGACAACTTCGATGAGTCCGAGTAACTTTGAAAAAGTCCCTCCTGGGGTGGTGGGTGGCACACACTTTTCTCTCTGCAGTCATTTCGGCTTCCTAGAATAACTCAACCGTAGAGGGAATACAGCGCCCACCCTTTTTCATTAACAGCGGGTAAAGAAGAAATCCGCGGAGTCCCCAGCTTAAGGGTCGTAGAACCAGGGGATCACCTGATACCAACTTGGACCCTTCCGGGGCGCCTCAGGCTTCTCCAGAGCAAGCTCTGGAGGGGACATCATAGAAGGAGAATCTAACCTGAGAGACCGCGAGCACTTGCTATGGCAGGAACCAGCTTGGGGGTTGTGAGTAGCCAAGGCATGACTGCCAGCTCAACTTCAGGCAAAAGAAAAGGTACTTAGGCCAGTAAGCCGTAGCCACCTGGTCTTCGTCGCCAGGAAACCAGACCAACCGCCCCTCCCCTTCCGCCGGGCGCCGATCGCGGTATTTTCTCCAGCGGCGGCGCAGAATGTGACGTCACGTCCGGGCCTGGCGCTTGGATGGGCAGGCCCTTTTTTCGTTATGGCGTCCAGCTGCATATTACACCCACACTCGTACAATGTCTGATTCTAAGTGCCTCTCTGGAGGGGCTGATGTCTCCGGCCCGCTTGAAGGCGCCTACGTGGTGGGGGGGGGTTAACCCATTCTGGGAACTTGTTTAGAGTGAAGAATACATAGAAGAATGCGTAAAGAGGCAGGCAATAGCACGAACAGCCACACTTCTAGAAAGTTCTAGGCAGTGCGCAGAAGCAATGGTAGAGGGAGCAGGAATTAGCAAACGAAGGACCCAGGGTCACGAGGCCGTTGGGGGCGGAGCCAGGGGCCGGGGAGGTTCTCGTCTGTTCGGCCTCGCGGCAGCCGCCCCCTTCTACGCGGTCACCGTGAGCCAGCGCTTGGGCCTGGGATCACGTCGCAGCCAAGTCCGACGCCACTCACTGCCGCCCCCCGCCTCCCGAGCATGGACCCCCGCAAAGTGAACGAGCTTCGGGCCTTCGTGAAAATGTGTAAGCAGGATCCGAGCGTCCTGCACACCGAGGAGATGCGCTTCCTGAGGGAGTGGGTGGAGAGGTGAGACCCGGGCTCGGGGACCGTTGCGGGAGGGAAGAGGGGGAGCTAGGTCGGAGCTGGCCCGCGGCGGGGTGGGGGAGGAGCAGGCTGGAGGCTCCTTCGTGGCTCGCTCTCCTGCCTGTCCGGGAAAGGGAGGCGACTTCCAGGGTTAATGGAGGATCAGGAGTCTCGTAGTACAGGAGCGGGGAAGCAGGGGGCAGAGCTGGGTTCCCCGCGTCTTGAGGTCCCCAGGGGTGTGTCTTGGGCCAAATAAATGCAAACGATGGCGTGGACTTCTGCACTGGACACATAAGGCGTCAAGGTGCTGGGTTTAGCTTTCCCTGGAGATGGTTTTTCTTTAAATCTGGCTTCTGCTCAGGTCGCCTTGACATATAGGAGCTTTTTTATGCAGTGTTCTTTTAAACAGTGTTAGAACCATCATTAGCTTGATAAACTATGGCAAGAGTAACTTTGGCCTTACCTTACAGCAAGCGTTTCTAACTGCGTGCAAGTGATTATCTTGGGAATCACTATTTATATCTTCCGTTAGTAGCAATGGTATTTCATCAGACACTTTAAGGAAAAATTTTCAAGATGATAGATTCTTGTTATCTTTAGCTGTAGAGTATTTTGCTGCGTACAAATAATTTAAAACGCATTGTGCCCGCTGCTGGGAAAACCCTGTAAAGTACTGCCATTGAATATAGACAAACACAAAAATTCATTTTAATACTTACTTTGTAATTAGATATGTAAATATTGGCGGGGCATCCAAAGTGGGGAAGAAGCGAAATCTTTCCCCAGGAGGTGATCTTTTAAAAAAAAAAAAAAAAAATCAGTACTTGCAGGAGACTTAGTTCCCGCCCAGCGTCCCCTCCCCCTCCCCAGCGGGGAATTTAAAAGTGATAACAGCTTGACTCTGTGGCGCGATGCTTCCCTTCTGTAGTCCCAGTTGAAGCAGGAGGAGAGCATTAGACCCGCCTGGGTGAAGCAAAACGTGTAAATTTCATTTCGAGGGAGCGAATAGCAACTCCAAAGCACTGTGGCTCATAAGAGGTAATACTGTAAAAGCGTTAAGTTGTTTTAGTAATATTTTTGTGGGGAAGATAAACTCATGATTACCAATTATTTTAAAGTATTTCAATAAGCTTAAGGAAGAAACGAGTTGAAGTCTCTGTTTATAGTGTTTTTTTTTCCTTTAAGGCGTTTTTCCGTCTTTTTCTCCCCACTATTTTTCTAGCTGTTGAAGAATTTTACACATGCAAAATACAATTCTGAGACCATTTGAAATTAATTACAGTAGTAACTTTATTGTTGACAGTGAACAAGAGTCTTATTTTCCATACTCTTCCGAAAGAACCAATCTACAAGATACTGTTAAATAAACATGAACACTAGGAATGGAGAACTAAATCTTAGCGGTTTTTTTCTGTTGAACAGTTTGGTTGGTTCAAAAGCCTCACTTAAGATAGTTCTATGCTTTTATCTCCTCATATATACTTGTTATAGGCAAGATCCCACAATTAACAAATTGTTCCTAAATTCCACGTGAAACATACCAGAGAAAGAAATAGCTGACACCAACGGTGGACATTATACTGATTGAATACAATTATTCCCCTGTTCCTTCTAGAGAGGAAGTGTCAGGGAACTCTGAAGAAAAAGTTAAAAAGAACAATGTTGTAACATAAGCGGGAGAGACCATAGTTCTGTAAAAAATTCCAGCTTAAAGTTTGCAAATACTTGTCAGGCATTACTGTTTCCCAAAGTAACCATGCATCTTACTTTATTGTTTCTCTTGGTAATGCCAGTTTCGCTATCTGAATCCAGTTTTTCTTGTGGCATTCTTAATTGTGGGTTTAGGTATGAGGTGAAACATCTCTGCATATGTTGGAACCTTACTTTGAACCTAAACTGAGATATTAACATGGAAGCTTTTGCTATCTTTATTTCAATCTAATTTTAAACTTTGATTTTTATAGACTCTGGGGCCTTTGAGTTTGTATCAGTTTCTCTGCCTTCACGCAGTCAAGATTATGGCAGGTTGGGCTGAACTGGGAGACTTTCAGGTCCATGAGTACTAATCCTGCTATTAACATTCCTTGAGTTAAAACCATTTATTTCAGAATTCTCTCCTCTGTACTAAGTTAGTCACAAGTGCCCAAGTCTTCTATGTTGGAAAACAGTTTATTTTCTGTAATTGCTGTCATTGTTTCTAACCTAAAATTTGATTTGATGGGAAAATTCATTAACAACCTTTTAAATCACACAAAGAGACTGAGGAAAAAACTGAACGGACAGGATCCAGGAAAACTCTTCTTTTCAAACATGTTCTGAAATATTTTTCTCTCCTTAATGAGGAAGAAGCATTGTCTGATCTTTTCTCCCATTTAATAACTTTTTGTTTAATATGATCTGAAGAAAAAAACATTAAAAACTTTGCTTTGTATCTTGTATGTGCTTTAATCATTTTCTTTGGTGGAAATTTAATTAAAATTATGGACAATATCTTTGTATTTTCCCCAGCACAGTGCATGGCACTTGAGTTAAAGTAAATGTTTAAAAAATGAACAGACCATCAATGCGGAATTTAGAATATAATACCGAGGCTTTTGTACATGTGCATAAGTAACTGCACAAAGCAGAATGAGGGTTTTAATTCTCAACTTAAGAGAACTATGAATGAAGGCTGGAAGTGTGGCTCAAGTGATAGAGCACTTGCCTAGTAAGCATGAGGCCCTGAGTTCAACCCCAGTACTGCCAGAGAGAGAGACAGAAAATGAATTATGAACAGAGTCTTGAGTTACCCTTGTGAGGATGGTCTACCCCAGTCCTACTTGATTGAGTGATGTTAATTCTATGTTGACAAAGTGGCACATTAATTGAAACATTTACATATATAAAAAATTGTTAACTTTCTAGTAGTAGACTAGAATTTGGAATGTGATTAAACTGTAAATCTAGATTATGAATATATTCTCTTCTTAATTTTTATATTTTTGGAACAATTTCTGACTCACAAGTCACATGTAGAGTACAAAGAACTATTGTATTTGAGAGTAAGCTGCTAACACTATGCTCAACACCATTTTGTATTTCCTACAAAGACACTGTTCTACAAACATCAAACTGGAAACTAATATAGATGCATTAATGCTATCTAATTATCAGAATTACTGGTTGCATTTGTCATGTCTCTTATCTCCATTTAAAACACATTTTTCACTCTGAACTTTGACTTTCATGTTCTTGACAGTTTTAATACTATATAAGCCAGTTATTTTATTGAACTTCCCTTAATTTGGGTTTGTCTCATCTTAGAATTAGATTTAGCTTAATACATTTCTTGGCAGCAATATCACTTCCCAATGTTAGACTGTGTTTGGATGTCACCCTAAATTTCTGACTCTGCATTTTGGAACTTAGGAAAAACACAGCTTAAGAAACTGCATTCATTAAAACTTAACTACAAAGAGCTAGTGTTTGATTACTGTGCTCTTTTGAAAAGAGTAGGAATGGAGTCATAGGTCAAGAAGGAGAGCACCTTCCTAGCAAGTGAAGCCCTGAGAACCACCAAAAAAACCCCTTTTTCCTGTGAAAAAGAATTTTGTGGTGTTTATATGGCTGTTTCTTACAGTTAAGTCATCTTGCTTTGCCAAATTACAAATTAAGATATTTCAGATCATGTAATGATCTTATTTTTGTCATAGGAGGCATTCCTTATTAAGGATGCTGAGTAATGATTTTTTTTTTTTTTTGTAGCACAGTGAATTAAGATATTTTGGATCATGTAGTGATCTTACTTTTGACATAGGAACCATTCCTTATTAAGGATACTGAGTAACAAGATTTTTTTGTGTGTGACACTTTTGTAACAGAAAAGTATGCACTTTTTTTGGAATGGTTCTTAACAAGATGCCAGGTTTTGTTTCTTTTTACTAAATTAGTTACTTTACATTTATACTCATGCCTCATGTTGGGTTCCTCAAAAGAATATTAAAAGGCAAGCTGCACCCTGAGAAGATAATTGCAACACTGAAAAGTGACAAAGGGCTCATTCGCAGACTATAAAAGAATGGCTGAAAGTAAAAATGTAATGAAAAAGCAGAGTGAGAGTTGAACTTTAGAAAAAAGACTATTCAGATGGTCAATAAATAAATACTTGAAAAAGGTGCCCAACACAAGGAGATGCCATTATACACCTATTGGAAACAAAATTAAGTGTAGGCCAAAGTGTTTGAACAACTGGAATTTTCAAATATTGCTTCTAGTGTATATTGGTTTAAAAAAAACCTGAAAATCAATATCCATTAAGTTCAACATACATATATGCTATGTCCACAAATTCTACCTAGCGAATATAAATGTAGGTAAAATAACTTGTTATTTTAAAGGTTTTTTTCCCTAATTTCCAAGTTAAATCCTTGTTTTACGTGGAAGTTAAATTGCTTTTTGTTCATGTTGGGTTTTGACATAAATTCGTCAAACATTTTAGTCACTGGATTGTTGGCATTAGGTTATACGCTCCAGTGCCTGTATCAAATGGAGCATATGGTAATAAGTTGCAGTCTTTTTGTCTCATTTTCAGTTATTTGCATATAATTCATGATGATGTTCTGGGCTGTTTGGAAAAGAAGGGTTCACAAGTAACCCCAGGGTCATGCTTGTTAGACAAGTACCTTGCCACTGAGCTATAATCCCAGCAAAACTGCTTTTGCTAAATGTCAAGTCTCATGTTTTGGATTTGAATCTACCCACTCAATTCTTAGCTATTAACTTGTATAAATGATTTTGTCACTGCATATTTACTCCTCTGCCTTTTAGTTTTCCTCTAGGAATGGGCCCAGAGAAGCTATATAATCATGTTTATTAGGCTCATAGAGGCAAGGAAAAAATTTTATTAACTAGTATGCTAAAAATAAAATTTAAAGCTGAAATAAACCTTAACTATAGTTACTCCAAAACATTCAAATTAATTGGGAACTTTAAGTTCTGAAAAGGTAACCATCTCATCTAAACATTTAACTGTTTTTTAGGCATTTTCGCCTGACAACAAATTTTAATTTTCTAAACAAGTATCTTTTTCTTGTCTTCTTCAAGCATGGGTGGTAAAGTACCACCTGCTCCTCATAAAGCTAAATCAGAAGAAAATATCAGGGTAAGTTTTAATTTCTTTTGTTTATTTAGTGGCAAAGTACTATATGTCTTTTGCTATCAATGTACCACTTCCAGTTTTCCTAAGATCACTCAGAAATTAGATCTTTAAAAAATTTTGCTTCTAAAATTTCTACTAGTAGACCAAATGTCTGGAAATTTATTTAAAACAATTTGGATTTGGATGTCTGCTATGTTTTAGGTGTAAGTGGTAAGCTCTGTGTTGTTTTGGGTCTAACATCTTCATCATCTTTTTAGTACTTAGCACAGTGTCTTATGCATGTATTGTAGGTACTTTATTTGCAAAGTAAATGAATAAGCATCCCAAATGACAAATTCTCAATTTTTGCCCTACTACCTGAGGGGATGTTTCTGATTAGGAATCATGGTGGGTTTTTTTTTTTTTTTTCTTTTTTTTTTCTTTTAGCATATTGTGAGAAGGATGTGTAAGATCAGGTGGAGGTTGCCAATAGCTGAAGTTTAGAGATGAGAGGGACTTGTACTTTTAGAATGCTCTCTGCAGTGTTTTTCATTCCTCCCATTTTCTGCCTTTATGTCTGAAAGACTTTTTCTCCAGATTTTTGGATTAACTATCTTTATAAGAAAATTGGCTGTTTTATTTAGAGTCCTAAGCATGACTTAAAATTATTTGGATAAGAAAATAGAAGTTATATATATGAGCAATTAAAGTAAGAAAAGTTAAGCAAAAGCCTCAGAAGTAGTTAGCCTATTCTTTATTGTGTGTGTGTTGCTGGGGTTCACACCCACAGCCTTGCACATGCTAGGCAAGTACCCTACCGCTGAACTACATCCCCTGCCTTTACACCACATTATTAAATGGAAAAGGTAGAGTGCAGAGTTATCTTGTGTACACAGAGACTATCTTAGATTGGAATATGTAAGAAATCACATTGGTTACTTACAAGGGGCTGGGGTTGTAGCTCATTGTTTGCCTAGCATGCATGACGCCCTGGGTTCAATCTCCACTACTGCATTAAAAAAAAACAGTGGTTACTTATGGATGGAAAGGTAATTTGCTTTCCAGCATGTGCATTTTTAAATTCTTTGAATTTTCATTGTGTATTACAGTTCCACGAGCCTTTATTTGATTTCCAAGAGTGAAAAGTAAAATGTTTAGTAAATTAGGCATTAAAACATGGTCTGAACGGACATGAGGCTGTTTTTTTTTTTTTTTAAGGCCCCACCCTCCCATTTGAGACACAGTCTCATTCTGCAAATTCCTGAGGTCAAATGGTACTCTTGCCTCAGCTTCCTGAATGCTGGGAATATAGATACTGGTCACTATGCCTGGCATCTTAGTCTTTTTACCACTGATCATGAATGTTCCAATTTTATTTTGCAGAGATACTATATTTGATTCTGGAGATTAATTTCAGTACCTGATAAGCGATGCTCAAAATAAAAGAGAAAACATACAAAACATATATGCTTTGTAAAATCCAAGGAACTACACCTAAAAGTGTGTGTGTGTACACATACGTATGTATGGTATGTCACTAAATTCTGATAGTACTGTTTGCCTTCCTTTTGGTAGGAAGAAAAAACAGATGGTGAGAAGACGGAGGAAAACATAAAGACAGAGGACCCATCAAGTGAGGAAAGTGACCTAGGTGAGCAGATAGTAGTTTGTTTGTATTTAATAACCTTGTGATGTGAGACTGTTGATTTGTATTAAAGTGACGCAATCAGCATTAATAGAAATATTAATGTAAACGACAAATGAAATTCAAAAAATTTTTAGTAGCCACATTTTAAAAAGTAAAGGGAAACATGAAATAAATTCACACTATAATTTTACTTATGCCAGTGATACATTGGTTAAAATACTAACATCCATGTAATCATTGTACAAAATTGTTCACTGAGTTATTTTCTTCCCTTTTTTCATACTGAGTCCTTAAAATTCAGAGTATATTTTACACATGTATCATGTCTCAGTTATTTTTGTTGGAAATAATTCATTCAGACTTGAAGACATTGAGAAAGTTGAGTCACATACCCAAGGTGTTCTAGGCACACTTTAAAAGTTTTCCAATAACTAAATTGTGTAACAAAAAATTATTTTCCTTTAGTCTTTGCAGGTTTGTTGGTAAAAGTGATTCATATCGTAAAACAATATCTATGCCATGAATTTGTTTTTTGTGGGGGAGTTTTGGATCACAAATTGACAAAAGTTCTTTCTAAGTGTGGAGGTACTTTAACCAGTTAGTGATCGGGCAATTTTTTTATGTCATAAAATTTACATAAAAACTATGAAAAGTACTTGAAATTTTTCAAGTTTGGAATCAGTTGATCTTTGATACTGTTAGAAAGGTCTTATTCCATATATAATTGTTTGGGGCTTGCAAGTTTTGTAAAATGTCTCTTTTAGCCTTAAAATTTTGTAATAATTTTCATGACTGCAATAATTTTTTTTTTATACACTCCATCTAAAAGCAATTGATGTGCACAAATAGACTTGTATAGTTAGACAAGCTGAGTTTCTGTTAAATGGAATACAAATTTTCTGTTTTATCCTTTGCAGCTTTGCGGAGGGTATAGCATTTCAGTTTTAAGTTCTGGTGGTCTAAGGTACAGCATGGTGACTATAGTTAATATGTTGTATATCTAAAATTTGCTGAGAAATAAGGTCTTAAGTGTTCCCACCTCAACACCCTAAGATCCAAGTATGTGATACAGTAGATAGGTTAATTGATGAGGGAGTCACTTCACAATGATCAAAACAGTACAGTCAAGGCTGGAGTCTCAGTAGTAAAGCTTACGTGCATACTTAGTATGTGTTAGGCCCTGGATTCAATCCTCCCACCCAAAAACAAAACAAACACCATGTTGTTTACCTTAAATATATATATAATGTTCACTTACTAGTCTTGCTTTAATTTAACAAAAATTTTAGAGGTATGTTAATTCTGATTTTCTGTTGGCTGATTTTAATTTCATTGATTCTTAACTGTATGAGCAAACTAAATTCATTATTTGCTAAAGATCTCTCCATATTGTCCACTTTGTTGCTTTAAAATGTTTTATATATAACAATTTTACTTTATTTTGTTGAGGTGAATCATAGTTGTCCTTCAGCATAAAATTCACATCATTAACTTTTCAGTCTTTATAAATGTGTTATTTATAGTGCTAGCACTTGGAACTTGGTTCTGCATCAGTGTAGTATGCCTTTGTTTTAAAATTTGTCCATATTTTTTTTTAGCAGTAGGGGGTTTTGAACTCAGAGCCTTTTGCTTGCTAGGCAACCCCTGTAACATTTGAACCATGCACCCAGCCTGGCCCCCCTCCCCCCTACCTTTTTTTTTTTTTAAGACAGGGTCTTTCTAACATAGCAGAGTCTGGCCTCAATTGGCAATCCTCTTTCCTCAGTCTCCCAAGTACTGCGTTTAGTGGCATGTACTGCCATACCTGGCTTTGTACTATTTTTTAAAGTGAATGTAATTAAATAATACTTCGTTATAATTTACATTAAATTATCACTATATCATGCTATCTGCATAAAATATTTTGGGAAACGTACACTTGTACAAAAAATTTTATTTTTTTACTTAAATTTTTTTACTGTGTAAAAAGTTTTATTTCAGTTGAATCAGTTTGTTGAGACTAAGTCTTTGGTGTATTTATGTGTGAAGCTAAAACTTTGCACACACTAGCGTTAATGCTAAAATCTAATGATACTGTCTGACATGGTGTGACAGACAGTTCAAGTGGTAGTTTTACCACATTAAAAGATGTAACTCATAGTTGACTGGACTGCCTCATTGTGGTGGTGGTGGTTGTTGAAGTGCTGTTTGTCAAACCCAGGCTTCCAGCATGCTTCCCAAGCACTTGTTTTTGTGAGTGTTGTCTCCTGTATTGTACAGTGACCGTCTTACTGGCATTTTTTTTGGCAGAAATTGACAATGAAGGTGTAATTGAACCAGACACAGATGCACCCCAAGAAATGGGGGATGAAAATGTAGAGGTAAGTTAAATGACTATTTTCTGCTTTTTCTAAGAGGTGAAGTCTTCCCTCCACCCCATTGGAATCATTTTATGACATAACTTCCAGGAAAAGTACAAGTTAAATCTTTCTGTAAGTTCAGGCATTGAGACAAGTATTTTATTATACTACCTAAGATACTAGTGATAATACCTCCTCCCCCTTTTTTGTTGGTGGTACTGGGGTTTGAACTCATCAGGGATTTCCTCTACTGCATGTTATTTTTAACTATTCTCTGAACAATCTCTGAAATTCCTGTGGTTGTTTTTTCTCCTTTTAAATTTTTGCTTCTTTTTCTGTCTGCTCTGTAAAGGAGAGTTCACCTGAGGTATATAATACAAGTAGAATTACCTCTTAATGAGCTAACTAGTGCCCCATTGTCTTCCTTTATCAACAAGTGTCCTGAAGTGGGTGCATATTGGTTCTTGGGAGGGGGCTCAAGGAAATTTTAGTACAATGGTTAGAGTGGCCTTCCAAAGGAACAAAGCACATGAATATATGCATGATATCTATGGTATTACAATAGAGGGTTGGAAATGAGGGGAAAATGTCTGAAAAGATTTCATGATGGCTGATAAGGAAAAAAAGGTTTAGAAAATGCCCTAACAAATTGATAGCAGCTTAAAAGATTGATCCACATCCTCAACACTTGATTCTTTCAGATATTATCTTTGCCAGTCTCCTCAAGTAGTATGTCTTTGTGACTTTAATTTGCTTTTTCCTTACTTATAATAAACTCATGCATATTCTGGTATCTTTTGATCAAGCATTTGTAGCATTTGTAAAGTCCTGTGCAGACCCTTTTCCTGGTTTTTCTACTAAGTGTTTCTCCACTGAGAAAGGGTCTTGCTGGGTTATCTAGGCTGGCCTAGAACTCAAACTCATCTTTCCTCTGCGTCCCTAGTATTTGATTATAGGAGTGCCCCACCATGCTCAGCACTGTTTTTCTTACTGATTTTAGATCATTTTAGTGTTTTGGATACTAGGGTTTGGGACAGAAATTTGTGGCCTGTATTTGCTACCTATATTTTCTATTATTTTGTGGCTTGTCTTCATTTTCTTTGTTTTCTCGATGAACACTACCTTATAATGCTATTAAATTATTTGCTTATATTGTATGCTTTATTACTTCAAGGGTGTAATTGTTATAAAATGTTGGGTTTTGGTAGTGCTGGAGGTTGATCTCAGGATCTTGCACATGCTAGGCAAATGCTTTACCACTACCTGTGAAAATTTTTCAGGGTCTGGGTAGAAGATGTATTCCTCCAGAGAGGAATACGTTTGTTTCAAACTCTTGGGTTGAAACTACAATTCAAGTACCATATTACATTCTCGGCTTTTTTTTTTTTTTTAAATTGTTTTAACTGCACAGGTAATGTACTACAAATAAGACTGGTACAAGGCTTGGGATTTTCAGAAGAGAATTTTTTTTTTTTTCCCTTGACCATCCCTTTGTGTGGGAGGTTTATTATGCCAGCAAAGGCATCTGGAGTTTCAGATTTTGGGGATAGTATCTGATTAGACCATATATTTGTTTCATGTGAAGCTATTCTTTTTGTCTGTTGTCCTATATAATTCACAAAAAAAAAGATACCAGGTTTGATACCTGCCACAAGGGTGAAAGCAGATTGAGCTATCTCCCTGAATTTCAGCCTTCATTTAACCTAAATTCTTTGGGCAAAGATAACTTGATTGTTTTTGGACTTGTTCAGAGCATTGTGTATACTTTATTGCCACAAATATAATTTTATTATTTTTTTTAAATTTATTTTCTAAAACTACCATAACTTCCATAAGATGTTTTGCTATCCTTTTTTTTTTTTTTTTGGGTGGTACTGGGGCTTGAATTCAGGGCCACCTTGAGCCATTCCACCAGCCCTTTTTTGTGATGGCTTTTTTTTGTGATAGGGTCTTGGGAACTATTTTCCTGGGCTGGCTTGGAACTGCGATCCTCCTGATCTTTGCCTGCCTGAGTAGCTAGGATTACAGGCATGAGCCACCAGTGCCTGGCTCGATGTTTTGCTATTTTGAGAAGTGTTTTTCCTTTTTTTTTAAAAACCCATTTGTTTTTTGTTTTACTGGGGTTTGAACTCAGGGCCTCATACTTGCTAGGCAGGTGCTCTGCCACTCCACTAGTCCTCCTTTGTTCTTAAAAACACATTTTTTAAATTTATCAAAGGAATTTTTGTTGGAATTGTATCGAATTTAATAAATAACCTAAAGGTAGATTAGAATATTCCAAATGACCTCCTTTCCATGAACGTGGCAGGTATATTAAAATTTCTTGAAGTCTTTTATTTCATAGAATTTTACTTTTTTCTCTCAAGAAAGTCTTAACATGATCTTAGAAGCTATTCATAGGCTTGGCTTCTGTTTTAATATCTTGTTCTATTATATTTAATAAGTGATTTTTGCTGGTGTAGAGAGAATCCGGCTTTTTTTTTTATGTTGTAACTGAAAAGAATTCTTACTACATTTAATATCATATTGCGTGCAATAACTTGTCAGTTCTAAACTGTGAGACAGTTTGTTACTTTCTGATTCTTAAATCTGTTAAGTCATTTTCTTAATTGGCTAGCCAGCACCTATAGGTACTATTTTAACATAGTGCTGGTGATAAGTGGACATGGTTAAAGGAACTGCTTCTGCTGCTTTTCTTTTTTTGTTTGTTTTGGCAGTCCTCGGGTTTGAGCTCTGGGCCATATGCTTCTAGGCAGGTCCTTTTTTACTGGTTGAGCCACTCCACCAGCCCCTAAGGATGCTAGCTGTGTATTTGTGTTCCTGTTAACTTTGGTACTGTCAGCATAATATATTTGGTTTGCTCTCTAGTATAGGTGCTTACTTGACTTTTATGGGAATAAAGGAATGGATAGCTTTATTTTCTGAGTATTTAAGTATAAAATAAACTAGTTACTTTTTTGTAATAAGAATGGGTTAATATTTATGGATAGCTATCTAGGAAGAGGGAAACAGCATGCTAGGAAGAGGGTAGAACAACATGCCTATGGTTGGGATTAAGCAAAAGAAAGATCATGTCGAGGGCAGAGTGTAGGGTGTAAAATTTGGTATAAAAGGTTAAAAAGCTTTCTGGATGCTGGTGACTTAATGCCTATAATCTTACCTACTTGGGAGACTTGAGATTAGGAGGATCATGTTCAAGGCCAGTTGGGACAAATAGTTTGTGGGACCCCCATCTCCAAAAATAACCAGAGTAAAATGGAATGGAGATGGTGGCTCATGCGGTAGAGTGCCTGCTTTACAAGCAGGCGGCCCTCAGTTAGAAACTACAGTTCCATCTGAAAAGGAGAAAAAAAAGGATTGCCATCCAAGCTGGCTTGGTAAAAGTGAGACCCTGTCTCTAGACTACTCAGAGCAAAAAGGCTGGAGGCATGGCTCAAGTGGTAGAGTGCCTGCCTAGCAACCCCAGTATCACCCATGAAAAGGTTAAAGCTCATTCTATATAATTTTTCACTAATTGGTTACTGTGATTATAGTCTTTGCTTTTTGTAGATTAGGAAAGCATGAACAAAAATGTGGGTGTGACTTCCTCATCCCTTATAAAGTTCAAATTGCTTCCTTCTCTTGCTTTCCTTACTACTTACAAGATAACTTTCAATTTTCTGTTAGATAACCGAAGAGATGATGGATCAAGCAAATGAAAAGAAAGGAGCTGCCATTGAAGCCCTAAATGATGGTGAGTATTTTTTTTTCTTCTTGCTACTGCAGTGGCTATTAAACACCAGAATAGCTGAAGGAAACTTATTATACCAAAGAAGATAGTGTGTTACTAACCCAAATACCACTTCGTCATGGGTAAAGAGGTTGAAATCAGTTTATATCAGTTAATCTTGCCTTGGAGCCTGATAGATCCCATCTGACCCACAGCTTCTATTTTTCATGGTCTTTCTCTGCTGAGAAGCCTTAAAAAGGTGAAATGCTTTCCAAAAACAAAAGTGATAATCCCTAACTTAGTACATTTCTTACAGATGATGTCCATAGGCATAACAATACTTTTATTCTAGTTCCTGCATGTTAGGCCTTCAAAAAAATATCAGAATGAGAGGGCTGACAATACTAAATACAGTGTTGTAATGTGTAAGAACCAGTCATTATAAACTTGGGTGCTATGACTACTATGAATATCATTTCATGCAAACCTCTGGTGGTGGTACTGTGTCATATTAAATAGTGGAGATGGGGTCTTACTATATAGCCCAGGCTGGCCTCAAACTTGTGATCCTCCTGCCTTGGTTCCAGGAGTACTGGCATTATAAATGTGTGCCAGCATGCCTAGCTCATCCTACCACCTTTTTAGTTTAGAACCTTATCACATATTATTTATAATGCAATTGCCTTTATAGTTTGAAGTACTGTTTCACTATTCCTCAGTTACCTGTTTTTATTAACGCTTTTGCTTGTTTTTTGTTTTTATGTTTTTTTAATTTTTTAAAATTTTTGTGGTATTGGGGTTTGAACTCAGGGCCTATGCCTGGAGTCAGTCCACCAGCCATTTTGTGATGGATTCTTTCCAGATAGCTCTAGAAAACTCTGGCTATTTGCCAGAGTTGGCTTCGAACCACGATACTCCTGATCTATGCCTGTCTCAATAGCTAGGATTATAGGTATGAGCCACTGGTACCTGGCTGTTTTTTCTTTTTGGCAGTACTAAGGTTTGAACTCAGGGTTTTTACATTTCTGAGGCAAGTGCTCTACTGCTTGAGCCATGCCTCCAGTCTTCTTTATTTATTTTATTTTATTTTATTTTTACTAGCTCCGTGAAATTAGTTTGGGGGCTTCTTCCTTTTTAAGCTTAACTTTAATTGGTGAGCAAGTGTTTTACTATTGAGTAAGACCCCAGGTGCCTTTTTTTATTTTTTGAGAGAGGGTCTCTCTGTAGCTATCTTCAAACTCTCAGTCCTCTTGCCTAAAGATTAGAGACTTGCGTGATGGTACCTGGTCCTCCTTTTTTGTAATAGAAAAAAGAAATACATATATGTGCGCACACATACACACACAAACACACCCCCACATATTTATGTATACACATACATATATCAATATGAATTCCACTAAAAATGTGGAGTTCTACTCTTTACTGAGGGCTTATGTATTTCTAAAATTACCTCTTTCTCTCAAATAAGTATAGAAGTATGATAAAGGCTTGCTTTTAGAATTAACCTAGAAGGTAACACCCATGCACAGGAAATCAATGTGAGTCAATGCCCTGTATAGCTATCCTTATCTCAACTAGCAAAAACCCTTGTTCCTTCCTATTATTGCTTATACTCTCTCTACAACAAAATTAGAAACAAGGCCAAAATAGTTTCTGCTGGGTATTGAGGCGGGGAGAGGGAGGGGGCGGAGTGGGTGGTAAGGGAGGGGGTGGGGGCAGGGGGGAGAAATGAACCAAGCCTTGTATGCACATATGAATAATAAAAGAAAAATGGGAAAAAAAAAAAGGCTTGCTTTTAAAAGCAAGTTTTGTTTATAATTCGTACACTAAAAAACTTTTTTTTTTTTTTTTTTTTTTGGTGTGCAACTCAGGACCTTGTGCTTCAAGGTAGATGTTCTACCACCTCCCATGTAGTTAGAAATACGTGTGCTGCCAGATCTGGCTTGTTATTTGAGATAGAGTCAGGCTGGCTTTGGAACTCCATCCTTCTATTCTTGCCTGCCTCCCAAGTAGCTGGGATTAACAGGCATGAGTCATCGTGCCTGGTTATAATTTTAACTTTTTTTGCCACTCTGGACTGAACCCAGTGCCTTGTATTTATTAGGCAAGTGCTCCACAACTGAGCCGTGTATCTTGCCCCAACACTAGTGGATTTTTGTTTGTTTGTTTGTTTTTACTGAACTAAGAATGTGAAAGACTTAATTAGATAAGAGATCAAAATTTTTTTTAAGGGCTGATAGAATGGCTCAAGTGGTAGAGTGCCTGCCTAGCAAGCGTGAAGCCCTGAGTTCAAACCCCAGTACCACCAAAAAAAAAGAAAAGAAAAAAAATTTTTTTAAAATATTTTTGTCCTCTTTCTCACTAACTTTTATTCCACTTTAGGTGAATTACAAAAAGCCATTGATTTGTTCACAGATGCCATCAAGCTAAATCCTCGCTTGGCCATTCTCTATGCCAAAAGAGCCAGGTGAGAACTCTATTTAAGAAAAACACCCTTGGTAATTATTTCTACTCATTTGTTTAAATAGATTGGATTCCATAGTAATCCCAAAGATTTTACTGTTTCAAATGAATATTTTTTAATACCACATTTATTTTTTAGTGTCTTCATCAAATTACAGAAGCCAAATGCTGCCATTCGAGACTGTGATAGAGCCATTGAAATAAATCCTGATTCAGCTCAGCCTTACAAGTGGCGAGGGAAAGCCCATAGGTAAATAATGGAATTTAATTATTTTCAGAACCCTATTAATTTAAATCTAACATTAATATGCCAAAAGGTTTTAATTTCACAGTAGTAATGTGCTCAATATGAAGGATTAAAAAAATTATATAGTGCTGGGCACCATTGTCTGTAATCCTAGTTATTCAGGATGCAGAGATCACTATGATCAGGGTTCGAAGCCAGCCTGGGCAAATAGTTTGCGAAACCCTATCTCAAAAAAAAAAAAACCCTTCATGAAAAAGGGCTGGTGGAGTAGCTCAAGGTGTAGGCCCTGAGTTCAAACCCCAGTATTGCCAAAAAAAAGGAAAAATAGTGAAGGCTAAATAAGGAAATAAAAGTTATTTTTACTTTTTCCAGTCAAAGAAAATCACTAATGCTTTATGGTTACATAGCCAAATTAAGGTAAGAATTTTTTTTTCCAAAATTCTAAGAAAAGAGAAAATGATCTTCTATCAGTGTCCTTCACAAATTTTCTCTTTTCGATTTTGTAACATAATATATGATAGTAATATACTAGCCTGAAACTATTGTGATCCCTGAAAAACCAGAAAATAAAAGAGGCAAATTTCACTCATAGTAGTGCTTATTCCTGGTTACACCAATGAATATTTGTGTTCTGGGAATTAGTCCAGTGAAATTTATGTCTTATATGGATTAAAAAGCTGCTGTACCCCAAGAGTGGATTGAGATGAAGATGGATTTCCTTTGGATGCCTGTGTCAGGTGACTCAAACAAAGTATCTCTAGTGATTTTTATGAACTCATGTTAATGAGAAAAGTGTAAAAAGTTTAAATAAAATTTATTAATGCTATGTAAATACAGGAAAAGCTCACAGATTTCTGTTAATCCATTTGAAATCCCACTAGACTTTAAGCATTTCTTTACTTTGTGGTACAAGCATAGTCCTATCTTACACTTTGCTTGTTGCTGATTTAGAATAAGCCATTTCTCTAAGAAACCATGGTTCGTTTTAGTGGAAACTAAGATTTGGACAGTAAGACGTATTTAGTGCTTCTGATTATGTCATTACTGTCATTTGAATAAACAGACCTAGGAAAAATTGTAAATGAGAGATTTTAATGAAAAAAAACTTCAATCGAGTTTCTGTTGATATTTTCAATTAAAACTTAATTTAAATGTTTGCTTTTGAGTTTTATTTTGTAGTTTTGACACTTATCTCTTATACTCAAAATCATTGTCCATGTTTTATTTGTGTAAACTTAAAATATAAAGTTGTTTCATAATCGCACCTTAGTAGTATGCCCTTGAAGTAAACTTTGAAGGTTTTCCCGACAGTTCTTATCACTTGAGTATTCCCACTTAAAATATGTATTCAAAATAAATATTTAAAAAGTTATTTCAGTTTTTTCCGTTATTTGTGTGGCTGATCTGATTAACAGCCTTTTGTTTTTATTTGTATTCAGGTTTTCTTTTTGTCCATTCTTGGTTTAGTTTTATTTTTTGCATATGTAAAATGTTTGCATGTTTGAAGAGTCAAAACTGACTTAAAATTTATGACCTGGAGAATTCTCGTTGCAATCTCTTCCCTCCCCATTCTTACAGACTCCCCACCAACCTTTATATTATGATTTTATTTTATTACTATTTTTTTTTAATGAAGAGCAGGTACACATGCATCATTTTTTTCCCTTCTTACATAGAAAGTAGCATGCTAAGTATATATTATGTTAACATTTTTTTGATGAGTTGAAAGTTAGCTCTACATATTTTTTAAGTGTCTTGATATTCTGAATTAACATAATAAGAGCTCAGATTTGCATTTAACCATAGATGACATTTCAACTTCTTCAAGTTTTACAGTTAACCAACACTGTAACATAGTAACTGAATTGGCTGATTAAAAAAATACATAGGTAAGCCAGTGTAGTGGTCCACACCTGTAATCCTAGCTACTTAGGAGGCAGAGATTATAAGGATCAAGGTTCAAGGTCAGCCTGGGTGAAAAGATAGCAGGACCACATCTCAACCAACAAGCTGGGTGTGGTGCACATCTGTAATCCAAGGTATGCATGAAATATCAGTAGGAGGATTGTAGCTCAAGCCCTCCCTCCCTCCACACAACAAAAACTTCAGACCCTATCCAAAAAATGACTAAAAAGCAAAAAAGGGCTGGGGGTGTAGCTCAAGTGGTAAGAGTGCCTGCCTAGCAAGCACAGGGCCCTGAATTCAAACCCCAGCACTGACCCAAACACACACACACACACACACACACACACACACACACACACAGCGCTAGTAATTAATTCATGCCTTTTTATAAGAAAGATACCATGCTTTCCTAGGGTAAAATGTCCATAAAAGACCCTTGTAATGAGTTTAAATCTATTTCAGACTTCTGGGCCATTGGGAAGAAGCAGCCCATGATCTTGCCCTTGCCTGTAAACTGGATTATGATGAGGATGCTAGTGCAATGCTGAAGGAAGTTCAACCAAGGGTATGTTAAAACAGAGAAAGGGAAAGTCATTACTACAAGACTACAAGGCTCTAGAACTTAAGCCTGGCAGCTATAATTTGCCAGAAAAACAGATGCAGAGAAACATTTGGAAGTTGTAGTCTAGCTACTTGATCTTTGTACTCCTCTCTGGAAATCTTAGTAGGTTTTCATGCTTTCATTTTTCCTGCTGTATTCCTGCAAACTCTTACTACGTTGTTTGCTAGACACAGTGGAGTTTTAAAACTGGGAAAACAGAAAAGAAAAGGACAGGTTTACAACAAGGAAAGAAATAGAAAATTTACAAAATTTTGACCCAGGATCACATCTGGTTGGTCTTATATACCATAGGTGTGTGTATATAGCTGCTTTAATAAATCATGAGGGCCTTGAAGTTAAGTTTTAGCCTTTTTTTTTTTTTTGCTTCCTCTATTTCCTCATCTTTTTAAGATGAGAATATTGAATCTAAAAATGAAAGTGTTCTATTTTAAGATTGTGTTTAAAATGAGGAAATTATACTTCTAAGAATTTACTTCCAGAGGTATTAAGATAGTACTTTAATGAGTTTAACTCATCCACCAGACTTCCTTTTTTCTTTTCTGTTTTTTTTTTCGTAAAAAGTAATCAGTAAATGTAAGATATTCTAGAGCATAAAGTTCTTTAAAAAAAAAATAGACTTGTTGCAAACTAACAATTGAATATAAATCTCTTATAATATTTGTTTTCTAATTAGATAATAGATCCAAAGCACTTGGTACTATGTACTACTATTGCATGGTGTGCTTATTGCATATATTTTCTCCTTTAATTTCCAAAGCAATTGTAAATCATTATTATTTCTCATTTTTTCTTTTTTTTTTTTAAGTGGTGCTGGGAATCAAACCCAGGGCCTTACCCATGCTAAGCTTGTGCTTTTTCTCAACCCTAAGATTAAATGCTTCTCATTTTACGGATGAAGAAATTTACATATATTAGACTGTAGCAAATACTTGGTGTATGATCCCAATCTCTGCCTTCCCGTGGAAGACATTATTAATGATAGTGTTTCTACTGAATCCAGCTGTGACTTCAGAACCTTAAAACACTATGCAGGTGGTAGAAGCTAACAGGTAAGAAATCTCCTGCGATTGGAAGCTGTTCCTTGAGCTTAGTCAGTTGTTTGAAATTGTAACATTTCTAACTGTAGATCTTAGGTCCTTTCTTTATTTCATAGTGTCTCATGCACTGAGATTGGTTTTGTTAAAGCCTGCTTTTTTTAGGTCTTTTTATATAAGGTAAAGCTGTCATTTTTCAGAGTTGTACATTGGATTAAACAGTATCTCCTTATAGGAATAAGAAAAAGTAACTGTTACCCAAACTATTTACTTGACCGTTTCAAGCATTTGGAGCAGACTGACTTTTCTATGATTCTTTCCAGGCCCAGAAAATTGCCGAACATCGGAGAAAATACGAGCGAAAACGTGAAGAACGAGAGATTAAAGAAAGAATAGAAAGGGTTAAGAAGGCTCGAGAAGAGCATGAGAGAGCCCAGAGGGTAAAGTTTTTGTATCTAAGCCATGAAAGGAAAATAAAGTAGATAAGAATTTTAGAATATCATTCTAATTCCTGTCCTCTATTTAACGCTGACTGCAGTCCTACAGAGTGATGGTACTACTTTAAAATTTTTTTTTCTTTTCATTTTGTCTGCATGCTGCAATTTGGAGATTGGGTCTCCTGAATTATTTGCCCAGGCTGATCTCAACCACAGTCCTCTTGATCTTAGCCTTCCAAGTAGCTCAGATTAGAGACATGAGCCACTGGGTCTGGTGTGTCTTTACATTCTTAAGTGAGCTTGTGTTTCATCAGCTTACTTTTTTTTTTTTGGCAGTACTGAGGATTGAATCCAAGGACTAATTCAATTTACATTCTTGATGTTCTTGTAAAATCAGAAAATTGGGCGTATAAGTCATTGGTAGAACATTTCCTGACACCAAAAATAAATAAGTAAATAATTCAGAAAACTTTCCTGGTCAAGTAATTAAAATTTTGCAGTATGCTCGCTCAGGTTTGTTGTTTTATTTATGATTCCTGTTCCAACATAGTCATTGATGGTACATGCCTGTAATCCCAGCATTAAAGAGGCTGATGTAGGAGGATAATGAGTTCAAACCACCCTGAGCTATCAAAAACAAAATTAAAGGATTCTGTTTATTTTAAGTTAAAGTCATATTACAGAAATTTAGAGAAAAAAAATCTCCATAATTCATCTGCAATATTGTTACTGCTTTTCTTAAGGGCTTTTCCTAGTGAGAATCCCGTTGGAAAAATAATTTTGATGGGAAGATGTGTCTGTTTTAGTTCAGTATTGCCATTTGAAACTTGTCATTCTTGTAAGTCCTCACTGGCTTATTGTATAATTTTTTTCATGATTTTGTATGAATAGGTTAGGGGTAGATAACAGAAGTTGTTTTCTTCTGTTACATAATTTATTTTCTTTTTACATTAAAGGAAGAAGAAGCCAGACGACAATCAGGAGCTCAGTATGGCTCTTTTCCAGGTATATTTGAAGAAAAAACTTAGCATTGTAAATAAAGATGAATTCTAATTTGGGGGTAGGTGGGGGTGTGTGTGTATATAAAGAAAGATTGGCTAATGAACTTAAATGTGTTTAGTGCCATTACTTTCTGGAACTCTGAAGAATGTTAGCCTCTAGAAACTTTAATTCTCAGGCTGTATACAGTTAAGTAATTTATTGTTGTGTAATCTTAAGTATTTCTCAATTGCCATATGGTATTTTTTTTTTTTTGTCTTGTTACATACAGTGATATCCATAAGGATACTTCATAAAAACACTATAGAGTTGCTAGGCATAAAAACATTTAGAGTTCAGTATAAAAATAACTTATAAAACTTTGAATGACGAACATGCATTTGAAGGGGGAATGACAATCAGGAAATAATTATCAAATATTTACCAAATGAGGCAGTGTGCAGTTTACATAAAGAATAGGAGGAAGCTGGGCATTGGTGGCTCACGTCTGTAATCCTAGCTTCTCAGGAAGCAAAGATAAGGTCTTGGTTCCAGGCCCACCTGGGCAAATAGTTCTGTGAGACCCAAGATAAAATGGGTGCCTAGCATGCATGAGGCCCTGAGTTCAAACCCTATACCAACAACAACAAAAAAGAAAAGGAGGACTTGGAAAAAAATTTGTTTTTCCTTTGAAACTGCTGCCTCCAGGTATTTAATGGTAACTTTGTTTCTCCTAAGGAAGATTTATGGATCCCATTTATCCTTATATGCCACTAACTAGAAGGCAGGTTATTTGGTCCAAAGCTAGAAAACATAACACATTCTGCAGGGCTGTATATCTAATACCTTAAAAAAGGAAGAAAAGATTGAGTACAGTGGCTTAAGTGTAATCCTAGCTAATAAGAAAGCAGAGATTGAAGGGACCCTATCTCAAAAATAATCAATGCAAAAGGGCTGGAAGGATGGTTCACACAGCATACTGCCTGCCTGGCAATTGTGAGGCCCTGAGTTCAACCCCAGTACTGCCAAGAAAGAATACTTCAGCTCGTAGTTTAATCATATTGTCAAGTACCTTTGTTTTCAAAAATAACCACTAATATGAACCAGTCCTGAAGATGATTTTCTGTTACGTGCATTTTATTGTCTCAATTTGGGGTGCCTTGGAGCACTAATTCTTTTATGGGTAGGAACTGATTTTTCAAAGCCCATCAGAAGGGGCTGCAAGAGAAGCTAGGAATTATTTTTTTGTCTTCTTAGATTTGTTCCGTCTGTTGGTGGTGGTACTGGGATTTGAACTGAGGGTCTACACCTTGAGCCATTCCATCAGCCCTTTTTTGTGATGATTTTTTTGTTTTGTTTTGTTTTGTTTTTCGAGATAGGGGCTCTTGAACTATTTGCCTGAGCTGCCTTTGAACCTCGTTCTTCCCGGTCTCTGCCTTCTGAGTAGCTAGGATTATAGGTGTGAGCCACCAGTTCCCAGCAACCACTGGGTTTGAACTCAGGGCCTCACAATTGCTAGGCAGGGGCTCTTACTGCCTGAGCTACCCCACCAGCCCATATGGCCATGTTTGAATTGTTGTGCTTTACTTGTAGTGACTGTTGGGTCTGTAGAATACATTGATGTGATCTGTCTTTTCCTTCAAGATAACCCATATAAAAACCTAATTGTGATTTCATTGTATCTCCAGTAGATATAAAGGTTTATGGTAATAAAGAGTAAAGAACTTGGATTTATAATCTAACAGTATGCTGGGGGGGATGAAATCCTTTTTGCTAAAGAATTCATCTCTGTAAGTAAGAATCACTGGGAGTGCTTGTTAAAAAAGCAGATTTCCCAGTATCACTTTGATTCTGCCTGAAATAGAAATCAGAACTCCATAGATTTTTTTTCTTTTAATGAAAACACCCATTTTATTTATTTGTCCATTTATTTATTTATGGTACTGGAGTTTGAACTCAAGCCCTTGTGCACTTGATAGACAGGGTTTCTCTTTGAGCCATGCCTGCAGCTCTTTTTTTTTTTTTAGGAATTAATTTCTTTTTAAATTGTATTTTTGAATTGGCATATGTTAATGATGCCTTAGGTATTTTTTGAATAGGTTCTCAAGTTGCCTTGGCCAACCTAGACTATAGTCCTCTTAGTTACACTTCCTTAGTTACTTAGTGTAGCTGAAATGACAGGTGCATGCTACCACACTCAACTTTTCATTCATTAAGATGAGGTCTCAACTTTTTGCATGAGCTACATTGTACCCATTTTGTTGGAAATGTAGGCCCCAAAAGTGACTACGTGGAGAGGAGTGACCAAAAATAACAAGAATGTGGAGCTGTGCACCAGTAGTTCAGACTTACAGTCCTGAGGAGGCAGAAATCAAGAGGATCGTGGGTTGAAGCCAGCCCCAGCAAATAGTTCGCAAGACCCTATCCCAAAAAAACCCATCACATAAAAGGGCTGGTGGAGTGTCTCCAGGCATTGACCCTGAGTTAAAATCCCAGTACCACCAAAAAAAAGGAATTAAAAGATAATTGACCTTTTTTTGTTGTTATTGTTGTACTGGGATTTGAGCTCAGGGCCTCGCTAAAAGATAATTGAGATGTCTGACTACATTTTTATCATTCTGAGAGACTATTAGTTGGCTCTGGTCTTAAACGTATGATTAGTTTTCTTGTTTGCAGTTCTATACTAATGGAAAATGAGTTCAAGAGGTAGAAAAGTCTGCTTTACAGCTTTATTTTTAGGGGAAAATTAGAAGTTAAAATTTGTTTCTTTTTATATTCATATTAGACTGTTAACTACTTTGTGCTTTGTGTTCTTGTTCTTTGTATATGTACATTGTTAGAGACGGGGAGGGAGAGAAATTTTTAGACTGTCTGGTAGTTTGGTTGGTGTCTATAGTTCTTTTATGTATTCTTGCAGGAGGATTTCCCGGGGGAATGCCTGGGAATTTTCCCGGAGGAATGCCTGGAATGGGAGCAGGCATGCCTGGAATGGCAGGAATGCCAGGACTCAATGAAATTCTTAGTGATCCAGAGGTTCTTGCAGCCATGCAGGTAAGACTTAGAACACCAGTAGTCATTGAGGAATTTCTGATAATTCTCTGTAGTGACAAAGGTCATTCAGTCATTTTTTAATCTTTTACTTACTTTATACTAGTTTTGCAAATGGGACATTTGTCAAATAAAGTTAAATTTTTACAAATCAGTTTTAGGAAATAATAATAGTTGGGCCATTGTATCCAATTGTCCATTTCTTTGTATCAAAGTTAAGTCTTTTTTTTTTTTCCATTGTTTTGTTCAAGTGACCCAGTTGTGCTTGACTTTGAAATGCATCTTAATAATTTATACTTCAGGGATTTGTCTAAATCTCCAGTTAATTTGACTAAGACAAAATTAAGGATTTAAATAAAGAAGTGAAAAAAAGGGATGGATTTAGTATAGCTAACTTTTTGATCCAATGGGACACTTTGTTTAAATACTAAAAAACCCCAAATGCTTTCTTTTCAGGATCCAGAAGTTATGGTGGCCTTCCAGGATGTGGCCCAGAACCCAGCAAATATGTCAAAGTACCAGAGCAACCCAAAGGTTATGAATCTCATCAGTAAATTATCAGCCAAATTTGGAGGTCAAGCATAATGCCCATCTGACAAAACCATTGCTGAAGGAAAAAGAACCTAGGTCACTTAATGGATGTCGCAATAATACAAACCAGTGTACCTCTGACCTCATTGGGAGAGCTGGGGTGCTTTGAAGATAATCCCTTCCCCTCTGCACCAAATGCAGCTGACGCATTGTACAGTGGTTTACCATTAGGGTATTCATTCAGATAATGTTTTCCTACTAAGAGTTACAAACTTTAAATACTTTTTAAACCTTGAAAATATTTAAAACAAATTGGAAGGGTATTAATTCCTCCATATTATTTGCTAATCATTTTGAATTTTTTTCTTTGAATTATCAGGCAAGTAAGATTTATTGCTCTAGTGTGAGTGAAATAAGGATTTATTAGTGGGAAGCAAGTAAATGTCATTTAAATAGGTTAAGTTTTGAGTTGGATATATGGTTAATAAGGCATTTTTGTCTTTTAAAATGCTTTTTTTCTTCTTTTTAATTCAGTAAAACCATTGGGACCACCAGTATTTCAATATGACCTGGGTAGGGAGTGGAAGTAATTGGCAGGGCAGTGACGATCTTACCATGTTTTGTATGATGTGCCCTTGTGTGGGTTGCATTTAAATCTTACACTGTGTTGAAGGGATAATTTTTTATTGTTAATGTTGCAGTGGAGTTGGATTACTTAGCTCTGTTCATGTCTAGCATATCAAATAAATGTTTCATACCATTTCCAAAAAGGAATAAGGGAGTACTTTTCTTTTTATATTTCTGTGTTAAAAATAGTCTGTCCTCATCAGAAATTAACCTGTCTGCTTTCTGCTTGTCATACATTCTCCCCGACCCCTTAATCTTCTTGAGCTAGAGAGTCTTTGTACTAGCATCATGACTGCTATTATTCACAGCATCATTGTATAAACATACTTAATGCTAGGTTTAATGTAATATGTAATACATACTGTGATTGTCGGGTAATACCAATACAGCTGTGGTTTCTTATTTGGCCATGGAATTGCTTATTTAAATGTTAAACTGGTGAAATCTCGTCATATCAGAACAGATTCCCTTTGGTGTTATGTCTTCCACTTAGGAAATACCTATTCCAGTTAGATTTCACCTTGTAGTATTCATCTTTGTGTTTTAAAAAATACAGTTTGAATTAATTGGTATACATAGGGAAGTAGTGAGGCTCCATTAGTTATGGTGGCTTTCCAGGATGTGGCCCAGAACCTCACAAATATGTCAAAATATCAGAGCAACCCAAAGGTTATGAATCTCATCAGTGAATTGTCAGCCAATTTGAAGCTTAAGCTTAATGCCCGTCTGACAAAGCCCTTGCTGAAGGAAACCAACCTAGGTCAATTAATGATATTCCAACATAAAAAATAGATGAGAAACACCGTTACTTGTTTTGAAGTTGTTAGTACTGTGAAAGATTGTGTCCTTTTATTCAACTCTTAAGTACTATAACCGTACCCTAAAGATAAAATTGACAAATCCCCTGGAGTATGTTTCTAAATAGGAAAATTCCTGAAATCATATGTTTATTCAGGTTCTAATTGCTGTACACAGACACATGCATTTGTAATGTGAATAAGAGAAAGCTGTGCTCTAATAAGCATGTAAAAACACCATATATGCTTGGATTTTAACTTGCCATTGTTCTTTTTTGGTCATGTGTGTTCTCCTTTGTCAAAATTTCCAGTGTGTGTTGTGCTTAACTCAAGAGGACCAGTTTCTTTGGGACTGTTTGATTGAGTTAATCATACATGACCTAATTATATTCTAATACTGCAAATATTACCATAAATGGGTAAAACTGCTCTTTTGAAAATGTGCCCTGTACTGAAACACTTTTGTTTCACAAATAGAAAAATCTTCATTTTCATAAACTATCATTTTTTAACCAGAAATTTTTTTTTGTGCTAAAGATGCTATAAAAAGATAAAATTTTCTGCTTATTAAAATATATAGTTACTGAATATTTCTAGCTATGTTAATAAAATATGGCTTCAAACTGATTGATATTGATTGCCCCCTTTGTTAGCTCATATTCTTTTTGTCTGCAGTGCTCATCTGTACTGGGCATAGTATATTAAGTACCATTAACAAGGAACCCTAAAAACGCATTTGCCTAAGTTACCCAGAGGTCTGTTTGTGGGTCTAAAGGGTTACTTTGGTGCTCATGTAACGACCTGAGGAAAACTGAGGTGGTCAGGGAATTCACACATTTCATTCCTACCCCTTTGGTCGGGTTTTTGGAAGCGAGGAAACAATTTTAAAATACTCAAACGTCACAATTTCAGAGAGTATTTCCATGGAACTGATGTAGCGCCAGGTATGGTGGTGGTTTCCTGTAATCCTAACACTTGGGAGACAAAGAGGATAGAGTCCCAGGTCAAGATGTGCCACCTACTTCGCCGAACCTTGTTTCCAAAACAAAGCTGATGCAGCTATGTCTTTTTTTTCCTATGTAATCTGATTACATGGTTTCCCTCCCCACCCTCACTTTTTTTGGTTTTTTTTTTTTTTTTTTTTTTTTGGTTTTTCTTCGCAGTACAGATGGAACCAGGGCACTGTGCATGCTAAGCAAGTGCAGTACCACTGAGCTATGCTCCAGCCTTTGACAATTATTTTGTAGTGTTTTCAGTAGCAGAGAAACGAAAGTTGGACATGTCACCAGCATATCTTGTGGAAAGAAGTGTTGAAAAGGCTAGTAGGGTTTCCGAGATTCCCAGTTTTAAGGCAGTGGGCGTGAATTGTGACTGATTAGGTCTCCAGAATGGAAAGAACTGTCAGACACCAGCCTGGACTGACGTTGGTGGGGTGCAACCGCTGGGTCTGCCCCACCCCCGTCACGCTGGTGGCCAATCAGTTTCAAGGGGCGTGCCCAGGTGCTAGCCACTTCCCCCCCGCAGCTCTCGGGATAGGAGGGCTCTCTGCGACCCGGAAGTGACTCTAGAGGAGGCGGGTAGGCCTGTGGGTGGAGCTTGACACTGCTGCGTGACCTCTTCCTCACTGCACATCGTGTGGCATTTGGAGGAAAAGTGTAGTTTGGTCTGCGGGAGGCCGCACCAATGTCCTCCGTGCTGTCCTACGAAAGCCTGGTCCACGCCGTGGCCGGAGCCGTGGTGAGGCGGGGTCTTCACGCCCGGGCTTCAATGGGTGTGGGGCTTTGCAGGGTCCGTCCCGGGACATGGCGGGGGGATGGGCGTGAGAGGGCGGATGGTGGTTTGGGTTTGTCAGGACTGCTGGACGCAGAGGAATGGGCAAGAAGGGAAAGTTGCCTGAAGAACTTGCGGTGAGGGCCGACACCCACCGCTGCCCACTCCTTCCCCCTGGCTGTCTCTTTGGTCTCCTAGACACTAGGAAAAATGGACGACAGCCAGAAATATCCAGGGGGTCGGGAGCAAGGTAATTTCTGTCCGGTTGGTCACCCCCGACGACGTCCCCTTGTACGCACAGATTTTGCCTAACTGAGCCTGAGGAGCCACCACCCCGGCTTTATTTTTATTAATCAGTCAAGATCAGCGTTGCTTGGTTCTTGGACTTGTGGACGTCTACGCTGCATTCGACACCCCTTCCTTTTCCCTGAAAGTTCCCATTCTTAGCTTGAGTAGCCTTCCTCTTCTGGCTCCGCCTCTTCCTCTTACTGTCCTTCTGATAGCCTTCACTAGCTGTCAACACACGCCTTAGCATTTAGAAGCACTGTGACTTCTGCGAACATTACCCAGTTCTCTCCTTTTGGCCTCCAGAAACTACACTGGCCGCTCTCGTTTTGTGTAGACTAATCTGAGTTGAACCTCAATTCCATCATTTGTTAACTAGGTGACCTGAAACACCACACTTTTCCAATCTGTAAAATGGGAGAAACGATACCTTCCTCACACAGTTTTATTTTGAGAATTAGATGACACAATATTTCATGAATGTGCTGGACATATACGGTGGCCCAGATCTGTAATATCCGCTACTCGGGAGGTGGAGGCAGGAGGTTCTCAAGGTTGAGAACAAAATAAAGGGCTGGAGGTGTGGCTCAAGTGATGAGTGCTCTTTGCTTGAGGCACTGGGTTCCATCCCCACTACTAATAAAAAAGAAGGTCCTTTATTCAGTTCAGTTCATCTAGAAAGGCATTACAGCCAATGTAAAGGCACTGAAATAGAAGCTTGCTTGACATGCTTTCATACGGCCATGGAGGCCAGTGTGTTGGAGTGGAAATACAAATAAAGTTGCCAACTTACATTGTAAACCTGATCACCTTGGCTGCTCTGTTGAGAGTAGAGTGTAAGAGAATGAGAGACAGTTGTCAGGCAAGAGGTGAGGTGGCTTGCACTAGGGAGGTTGGTAGGAGTAGTGAGAAAAGATCATTAACCTGGAATATATTTACAAGATAGAAGAATCACCAGGGTTTGGTGATTGATTTAAGTGGGGGTGTAGCAGAATGAGATTTAGTTGGCTTCAGCAACTGCAAGGAACATGTACTGACATGGCAATGGACTGTGAAGGAACAGATCTGGGGGAAAAGAGCTTGGTTTTGAATAGTTTGAAAATGCCTGAGAGTAGTCATAAGACTAAATGTTAATTTACCAGGGCAGTAAGCATGGACTAAGAGAAAATCCCAGTGACTGAACTGTGAAGAAGGTTAACATTGAGAGGTTGAAGAAATGAGATTGCAGTGCAGGACACTAAGGAAAGACCAGTACAGTAGGAGGAAAACAAAAAGTGTAGTGTTCTGAAAGGCTCAGGAAGAAAGCGTTCAAGGAAGAAGGGTGTAGACCAGCTGGGTCAGATGCTTTTGTTTTGACCAGTTTTGGTGGAGTGGTGGGCCAAATAGTTGGAGTGCAACTAGGAGAGAATGAGAAGATGGGAAATGCTTGTTTTCTTTCTCTCTCTCTGTCTCTCTTTCTCATTAATGATATTCATTCAACACATGCTTATTTATGTATTTATTCTGTTTGTTGTGTTTTGTATTTTGAGGCAGGATCTCATTATTTGCCCAGGCTAGCCTCAAACTCATGATCCTTCTACCTCAGCCTCCTGAGTGCTGGGATTACAAGTGTATAACAGCATGTCCAGCTGCTTTGTATCCCGGCTGCTTTATGGGGTTTTTTTGTATATTCTTTTGACCTATCACACTGACCTGGTTCACAAACTCATTTTGCAAACCTATATAATAAGGTTGAATCACATGAGTCCTAACTTTCTTTTGGTTGCTACAAAAGGAAAAATTGTACCACAAATATACAACTAGCTTAATGAGAAAAATAACATTGCTTTTAATGGTATAATATTGTAGTGATGACTGATGTTTAATTAAGTCTCCTTAGTGTAATGTTCAACCAAAGCTGAGGTAAACATGGAGAGTCAGCATAGTATAGTTGGTTAAGAGCACTTGAGTGCCCTCTTGAGCCAGGCAACCTGGGTTAGAACCTGGCTGTGCCTCTCACTTGCTGTGTGACCTTGGTGTTGCTGCCCGGAATACTTGCTTCTGCCCAAAGGGTTGTTGATTTATAATGTTTGAATTGGCATATCAGGATTCTTTGTTCAGTTCTTTACAGGTTTTACATTGTCAAACATCAAGCGTGATGTTATGAAAATACACACTTCTTTCCTCTCCCCCCGCCCCCCGCCCTGCAGTGCTGGGAATCACTGCCTAGCACATGCTAAGCACACACTCTACCATAGAACTAGGCCCCTGTCCCAATATATACACATTTTAAAAATCAAATTATTGGTTTTAAAAGTTCTGTGGAAGACCTTGGGATAATTGCAGATACCTTGAATCTCAGCACAAGAACTATATTGCTTCAGGAAAATGTTGACTGCAATTAGTGACCTTTTCTTTTTTTGATACAGGGTTTGCTACATAACTCGTACTGGCCTCAGACTCACTATGTGGTCCAGGCTGGCCTTGATCCTCCTGCTTCAGCCCTTTGAGTGCTGGGATTATAGGTGTGTACCCCATGCCTGACTCAACTAATGACTATATGATTCAGTCAGTACCCTCATATGTAAAGAATTCCCAGAAGTTAAAATAAAATTAGATTTACAATTTTATATTTTTGGTTCTCATTAGATTATCTTTAAAGATTTCACCTGTAGAAATGTACACTTAAAAGCTGTTGGAGTGGCTCAAGTGGTAGAGTGTCTGCCTAGCAAGCCTAGTAAGCATGAGGGTCTGAGTGCAAACCCCAGTACTGCCAAAAAAAAAAGTACATTTGTAAGTAAAAGATTTTCTTAATCTAGAACTTGAAAAGAATTGTTTGTGTTAAAGTTGATCAGATAAAGTATTTGTCAGAATATGGGTGTTACCTTCCTCTTTCTATTCACTCTGTGTTTGTATAAAAATAAGGCATAAGTAGATTCTTGTTTACATTACTGTTACAGAGCTTCATATCATGGGGTTTATGTTTATTTTTGGTGTATTGGCTTTGGTTGTGGTCAATTAGTTGTGAACACCACTGCTCTGGGACCAGCCTTGCTTTGGAATATAAAGCATACTCTATGTGTATCAGTTAGGGTTCTTTGGTTGCAAACTGGAGATGATTTAAACAAACAGGTTTGTTGGAAGACTGTTTGGGAGCTCCCTAGAAAGCTGAAGTAGATTTCTAAAAACAGTCACTGAAAAGCCTTTGTTGGACACCACCACTTGAAATCAGTGGACTTTTTCTACATTCTTTCTGCCCTTAAAACATTCCACTCAAGATTCAAAGTTTAGCCAGTGGCTCACACCTGTAATCCTAGCTATTTAGGGGACTGAAATCAGTAGGATTATGGTTCAAAGTCAGCCCTAGCAAATAGTTCACAAACCCCTTCTCGACCAGTAGCTGGGTGTGCGCCTCTCATCCATCTCAGCTACAATGGGAAGCAGAAAACAGGATTGTTGTCCAGGCCACTGGGCAAAAAGTGAGACCCTTCCCCCAAAATAACCAGAACAAAAAGAACTGGAGGCATGACTCAAGAGGCAGAGCACCCCCTACCAAGTACAAAGCCCTGAGTTCAAACCCCAATACTGCCCCCCACCCCAAAAAAAGAGAAGACTCAAAATCCTGGTAAAATTCCTGTTAACAGTACTTAAGGTCATATGCCCAACCCTTGACTTGTTATATCTCTTGAAACAGGTGTGAAAGGAAGGATCTGTTAGAAGGAACCTTCTACTAGCAGGGGCCTCTTCATCTGCTATAGTAGAGGGTAGGCCCCAGTTTTTTATCCTACTAAGATTGTACATAGTGGGATAAGGTAATTCTAAAAGAAAATCAGTTATGTCCTTAGGAAAAGAGTGATACTTTGTGGCCCCAAATATCTAATATCTACTATATCATGTCATTAAAACATCTTCAAGCTGGGCATGGTAGTTCACACCTATGATCCTGGCACTTCAGAGGCTGAGGTAAGAGGAACTCAAGTTTAAGACCAGCTTGGGCTACAAAATGAGCCCAAGCCCTGTGTCAAAAAATAAAAATATCTTCAAATAACACTGGTTTTTAATACATAATATCCCATCATTTGGATATTCCATAATTTACTTGTGGGCATTTACATTGCTTGTGTTCTTCACCATGATAAACATTTGTGTAGTGTAAATGTTAATGTGGTCTTCTACAACCCCATTTGAAGTGACTGTGGGATTGCTTGATTATCTTCCCTAAAGTCATTCACTGTGTCATAGACTAGAGACAAAAACTAATTCCAGATTCAGTCCAGTTAACTTGGATTCTAATCTTTAAATGTCAGTAGTCTCTCAGAGTTGTTGATATTAATAAAAGAACAGCCAATCTGCTTTTATACTGACACTATTATAATAGGGACCCAATGAATAGAAGCTATTATTCATTTTGTCCACTACTGTGTTTTCTCATTTTCTGTGCATCTTGAGATAATTTAATGTTAACTAATTTAATAATACTTACTATATACAATTCCACAACTTCTCAACCCCTTGTCACATTTATTAACCAGATTGATAGGTAGGCAGTGTGCCAAGTGGTTAAGAGTATGTTTTCTGAAACCAGACTGCCTGAGTTTAAATCCCACCTTGCCAAGTACCACCTGTGTGACTTAGGGCAAGTCCCTCAACCTCTCTTTGCCTCAATTACTTCATCTGTAACTAGGGAGAAATAATAGTATTTAATTCATAGAGTTGTTCTGAGGCTCTTGAACACGTATTTTTATTCTCATATAAAGACAAGAAGACAGTGGTGAATCTTGAGGCAGGAGGATCAAAAGTTCAAGGTCAGCCTGGGTAACTTCTTGAAGCTCTCTCTCAAAAGATAAAAGGGGGTGTGTACAAGGTCCTGATTCAGTCGTCAGTTTCAGAAAATAAACAACAACAAGAAGAAAAAAACAAGCAAACAGAAAAACTCAGAGGTGTAGGGAAGAAGAGAAACTAACAAGTCTATTGAAGGTAAGAAGTGTAGCAGGGGACTTTTCAATAAATTTGCATTTCCAAAGGAATGTTCTGTAAAAGTGAGTGGGAAATAATCTTGCTCCTCCCCAAGAGAACCAGCTTTCCCATCCTTGGCACTGAATCGAGGTGGGGAAAATTACCTCTGAGATAATGAAATAATAAGCCCTCCATCAAGTTGTAGCTGAAATTCTCAACAACAAGAAATGATTTGAAAACCAAATAAACTAATAAAGCAAATAATTTAACTTTGGGTGATTCAAATAGTGAGGTCCCGCAGTGCATAGAAGGAAGCATCCTTTTTATAATACTCATCATCATGAGGTCCAGTAGAATATCCAAAAGTAAAATTCTAAGGAAAATGAGGAGCTCAGTCCAGACTAACTTGAGGCATAGTGAATGACTGCAGTAGACAGCAGTAAATCTTGCATGGAATTAGAAAATGGAATTTTCGGTGACAAACTAGAAAAGTTACTTAATGTGGATAAGAAAACAAAAGAAAGACTAGGGCTGGAGATATTGCTTTAGTGGAGTACCTGCCTAGCATGTGTTAGGCAAGCCTAGATTGGATCCTCACCACCACTACCCCACCCCCCCAAAAAAAAGAGCTAGAAAATATTTGCCGGAAACTTACTTTGTTCAAGCAGATTTATAAATTAACCAAATAGAAGGACTAATGCCTGATGATTATGGAAACACTAAACATTGATTTAAGAAAAAAGGGGAGAGAAAAGAGATGGAATGTGGTATAAGAGCTGAATACTCATCCTTACTCCCTGTAATAGAATGTAACTAATGTCTAAAATTGATGAGTCAAAACATATCACTATATGATTTAATTGTATGGAGATGTGTAAATTACAAAACTGCAAAAAGAACTTAATTGCCTGGAGGAAGACTGGGTAAAATGGAGGAGGTGGAGGAAGAGCTATATTTTGTCATTTATATGCATGACTTTTTTTTTTTTTTTCATGTTTTTTTCAAGGCAGGATCTAATCCTGTAGCTCAAGCTTGTCTGGAACTCAGTATGTTACCCAAGATAGCCTTGAACTCACAATCCTTCTGCCTCTGCCTCCCAAATGCTGGGATTACAGGCATGAACCACCACACACTATACAACAGGAATTTATACAACATGAATTTATACTACATGGCTTTTTAAACTATGTGTGTGTTTTGCTTTGATCAAATAAAATTTTTTGATGCATACCTATGAATTTAGGATAATTGGTGAAGCTGAGTGATAGGTTAAATTCATGTACGGGTTTAGCAACATGTTAGGCACAGCTGAAGGTAGTGGAATTAATAATGCCTGTAGTCAGAAAACCAAGGAATATTCTTTGCATTTTGCTGAGAGAAAATGAACTTCTATCTAAAATGTGATGTCCAATGAAAATCTTTAAAACATCACTGAAAAAGGGATAGTGGAATGACTCAAGTGGTAGAGCACCTGCTAAGGCCCTGAGTTCAAACCTCAGTAACTCAAGAAAAAGTAAAATCATAAGTGAAATAGAGGCATTAAGAGTGTCAAAACAAACCCGAAGAGCCACGTATGGTGGAACACATCTGTATTCCCTCTACTTGTTTTTCACGTAGTCTTGTGCTTTTTGCCTGGGGCAGACCTAAGACTGCAAGCCTCTGCTTCCTGAGTGCCTCTGCCACTCTGGTCTTCTATTTTCCAGATGGACTCCTCTGCTCCAACTGCAAGTATAGTTGGAAGCATTAACTTGTCCCAGCATGAAGTGGTTAAATGGGAGGAGAGGGAATAGAATGTTGTAACTAAATGTTTTTGGTGAAGTACAAAGAAATCTCTGGAAAATATTTTTCTGGAAATAGAATCTTTTAAACTATAATTATTGTCAGCAGCAGAACTCCCACTCAGATGAATATAATTCTGTGGGACTCAGAATAATAGATTAATTTTATGCCTATTTGGCAAAATAGTATTTTATATTGTGGTTATTTTCTAGGTATTTTGTGCCTTCTAATTTTGTATAAGTGAACAAACAGTCCAGGGGGCAAGGGGAAAGAGAAATTGAGTATTTTTGTTTAAAGGAATTTAATTCAAATTCTTAAAAATCATGTGCTTATACTTCTTGGCATAAGACTTGCATCTATAATAAATATTTTGCTTCCAGTAACAACTGCTTGTAGAAAGTCAAGTTTGTGTTTGCTTGGCTAAGAGACAAATATAGCAAGTTCCTGATATGCAAAATACTTGTGTATTCCAAATTTGCCTTTAGCATTTGGAATATATTTTCTCATAGATAATTAAGTTTATTTGTGGGGCATACATTCATATATTCATTACAAGTTCGGGGCTTACACTATGCAGAGCTAGATGCTGTGTTCTTAGGCTAGTCCATAAAAAATGATATATAAATTATTAATATTAACACCTTTTTCTTTTTTTTTTGGTGGCATGGGATTTTAACTCAGGTCTTCATGTTTGCTAGGCAGGCACTTTACTGCTGAGCCATGCCCCCAAGCCCTATATTAACACTTTTTAACGTAATTGTTTTTAAGGTTTTAATTACAGTCATGGCAAAGAGTGAACGCTGAAGCAGGCTGCCTGGGCTCAAATTTACAAATTACGTCATTAGAAAAATTGCTGAACCTCTTTTGGTGTGACTGGGGTTTGAACCCAGGGCTCAGATTTGCATTAGAGCAAAGCAGGTGCTCTAATGCTTGAGTTACACTTCCAGTTCATTTTTCTCTGGCTATTTTTGGAGATAGGGTCTCTCAAACTATTTGCCCAGGGTGGCCTCGAACCACCATCCTCATGATCTCAGCCTCTCAAATACAGGAATACAGGCACGAGCGACTGACACCTGGCCGAATCTTTTGATACCTATAAAATGGAGAGAAGGGTAGATCAGGTTGTTGTGAGTAATAATTTCTTTTTTTTTTTATAGTAGTGGGATTTGAACTCAAGGCCTCCTGCTTGCTAGGCAGGCATTCTACCGCTTGAGTCACTCCGCGAGCCCTTTTTTTGTGTTAGGCTTTTTTTTTTCCTTTCTTTTTCTTTTTTTTTTAGCAAATAAAGCAGGAGAGTTTATTGGGATAGATCTAGGAGAGGTCCCAAGAGAGAGTTTTGTTTTTGAGGGGCGGGGGAGGGAAGTACTAGAGTTTGTACTCAAGGCGTCACCCTCTCTCACTTGATAGGCAGGCACTCTACCACTTGAGCCACTCCCCCAGCCCTGTGTTAGATACTCTCAAAACAGGGTCTCATGAACTATTTGCCCAGCTGGCTTCAAACCACCATCCTGACCTCTGCTTCCTGAGTAGCTAGGATTATAGGCATGAGCCACCAGTGCCCAGCTCAGTTTTTTTAATTGAGGTATAATTCACATAACATGAAACTAATCATTTTAAAAGTGTACAATTCAGTGGTGTTTGGTACATTCACAATGTTGTACACCTGCCACCTCTGTCTTCCAAAACATTCCAAAACAGTTAATTGCTAAACAAAATGTAGCATATGTACACAGTGGATTACTCAGCCATAAAACGGAATGAAGAAGCCAAATAAGGTGGACCCCCCACACTGTAATCCTAGCTCCTTAGGAAGCAAAAATGGGGAGGATTGCAGTTTGAGGCCAGCCTGGGTAAAAAGTTGAGAGATCCTACCTCAACCAATAAAAGTAGGGTGAGGTGGTGCACGCGTCTCATCCGAGGTGGAAAGCGTAAATAGGAGTATTGTGGTCCAGGCCATTCAGACATAAAGGGAAGGCCCTGTTCAAAAAACCAAAGCAGAAAGGGCTAAGAGCATGACTCAAATGATAAGAGTGCCTGCCTAGCAAGCTCAAGTCCCTGAATTCTAACCCCAATACCTCCAATAAAACAACAAAGAAGCACAAATAACTGAAAGTAAAGTGAATTTTATAAACATTTGGGAATCTACAGTGTGGTAAAATATAAGATATAGAGTGGTCTTACAGTATAACTGAAGAAATTTCACTATAATGTTGAGTGCTGTAAAAGATACTCAAATAGGTACTGTGAGTACCTGGAGAACTGTAACCTAACGGGGAGAGGTGGTAACATTTCATCTTGAGTTTTGAAGTACTAATATTGTAGTGCAGTGTTCTCCCTTGCTAAGCAGGCTGACTTTTTAAGTAGTTAAGAAGCCTACTTAAGTTTTTAGACTTATCTTTAAAGTTGACCTAGTTTCTAGTTGTGATGATTAAAATATTATGTGTAACCATTATTAGATCAGTAGCCTAAAACTTGATTTTTATGCCTGAGACTATGTATCAGTGGGCTTGTATCAAGACTGAAAATCGTAAACTGAATTTTTGGACATTTCATGCATATAATTTCATCCATAAATAGACACTTCTTGTTTTTATCTTGTTAATGTCTTACAACTAGAAAAACTGGTTGTTTGCTTTTTTCCCCTGATAATTTGTATCATTGTGCTACCTTGGATAAATTTATAGAATTTTTTTTTTTTTCGGTACTAGAGCTTGAACTCAGGGCCTACACCTTAAGCCAGCTGTTCCACCAGACCTTTTTTGTGATGGGTTTTTTCGAGGTATGGTCTCATGAACTATTTGCCTGGACTGGCTTTGAACTGTGATCCTCCTGATCTCTGCTTCCTGAGTAGCTAGGATTACAGGCGTGAGCCACTGGTGCCCAGCAAATTTATAGAAGTTTAACAAAGAGATTGTCCCTATTTTATTTAAAACACAAACAAAACTGTATGTTAAAGTTCTGTATGGTTCTTACAAGCCCTTTCAATTGGTGGTGAATAAAGCACAGAAAATAGAATTATCTGTTTAATTATTAAATATTTTTGTTTTGGAGAATATCAGAGAGTGAACATAATAGTAACAAATGACCTAAAAAAAGGTTAAAAATCCATTTACATGCTATCTTTCACATGTGTCATAGGTTGCAAACCTATAAGTTTGTCATTTACTACAGTTTATTTTTCAATATCAGAAGAGCTTTCTTCTGTAAAATTTAATTCTTTTGTTTAAGTATATAACAATAGAAGTTTGAACAATAATCCCAATAAATTAAAATTTTTAGCTAAAAATCTGATTTGACCCATTGTATAATGAGCTTTTGTTCATTTAAAAGTTGTAGCTCATGTTTATGACACTCTAATGGCTAAATCCTTTTTCAAACTTTTCAGGGAAGTATGACCGCAATGACAGTGTTTTTTCCCTTGGATACAGCTAGACTTCGACTCCAAGGTGAGTATTAATCATATTCTTGTTCATTTGGTGTAGGGAAGTCATAGTTCTGTAGTGAATTCTACATTAAGGTAAAAACTATTCTGCTTCTTTAGAGATCCACTGTTGTCTATTTTCACTAACTTTTAACTACTGGCCACCATTGTTTCCTGGTTAGAGTCATCCATGGATGAGTCATACATAACCATTTTCTAATCTGAGAGAACCTGAATGGGCTTGCATTTATCATTTCAAATCATTGCAGTTCTTTATAATAAGCCACATAATTTTTCTTCTTTTTTTTTTTCTTTTTCTTTTTTTCTTTTTACAGTGCTGGGGATCAAACCCAGGGACGCACACATGCTAGGTAAATGCTGTTCAAAATAGACAGGTTTTTTTTTTTAAACATTTTTTTTAAACCCACATTAGTAGGTGTTTGTGATAATTTCATGGATGTGTTCTTCAATCAAGTTCTATTATATTCCCTTACCCTTGTGCTCCCCCTTTCTTTTTCAAACAGTATCAAAGTGGAGAGTTTTTTGAGGGATGTAAGTTTTCTCAAAAGTGGGGAGAGTAGAAAACATAGTGGAGCCCAATATCCACTGTCATTGCTGGTCTAGGTATGTGGTCCTAATTTGCCTCTTTAGCTCTACAGGATTCTGGAGTCTGTATGTAATCCTTGTTTTTTTTTTCCTCAAAATTTTCAACTTGAAATTATAAACTAATGCCAGAACTTGCATAAAGAGATATGTAAGATTAACTTTGAATACTAACTCAAAGGTTAATCCCTTTATGTTTTGAATTGGTAATGATTTTATATAATTTACCATGCAAATAAATAAAAAGGTGTGAAATATTGAGAAAACTCACTATAATCGGCCCTCATTCCTTCTCCACTGTAGTGTCATCAATGGTAGAGGAAATTTTCTTTTTTCAATACTGGGGTTTGAACTCAGGGCCTGCACCTTGAGCCACTCCATCAGCCCTTTTTTGTGATTTTTTTTTTTTTGTGATAGGGTCTTACAGACTATTTGCCCAGGCTGGCTTTGAACTGCCTTCTTCCTGATCTCTGCCTCCTGAGTAGCTAGGATTATAGGCATGAACCACCAGCGCCTGACTAGAGGAAATTTCTTGATTTGGACATCCTTCAAAATGTTACGTGTAACTGGACACTGTAGTATGCCTGTAGTCCCAGCCACTTGGGAGGCTGAGGCAGGAGCATCACTCCAGCCCAGGAGATAGGAGCCAGTTTAGTTAATATAGAGAAGGTATATCCAGATCTTGGGAGGGAACAAAGACAACAGAACAAAAGGGAAAGAATATAAGGTGTGTGCATAGTCTGGAGTCCAGTATAATGTATGAATGAATTTTTAGACCGTATGTGATGATCAGCTTTTCCTAGTTCCTGAGTAGCCTTGCAGACTTTTTTGTAGAATACCAAACAAGTAATTTTTTTTACAGTACTGGGGTTTTGGCAGTACTTGGGACCTTGTACTTGCTAGGTACGAGCTCTAACACTTTGAGCCATGCCCCGTCTCTTTTTGCTTTGGTTATTTTTGATATATGGTCTCATGTTTATGCCTAGGTAGGCTGTACTGCGATCCTTCTATTTGTACTTCCTGTGTAGCTGGGATGACAGGTATGCATGCACCACTATGCCCAGTTTTTTATTGGTTGAGATGGAGTCTTGTCAAGTTTTTTGCCAGGGCTAGCCTTGAACTGTGAACTTCCCAAGTTGCTAAGATTACAGGCATGAGCCATCATGCCCAGCAAAATATATTAATTTTCTTCCTTACTTACACAAAAACACACTTGATCTACTGTTCTGTACCTTTTTAAACTTTACAGTATGTTTTAGATGCCTTTCAAGTCAGCGCATTAGGAGCTTCTTCATCCTGTGCTATAGTTGTGGAGGGGTTCATGGTATGCATGCACCATATGCATCCCCTATGTGGATTCTTGAGTTGTTTCCACTTTCTTTGTTTTTACAAATATGATATATGAATAGATTTATTCATATACCACTTTGTTTTCATAAATTTTATGGGATAAATTCTCAGACATAAGATTACTGAATCAAAGGCCAAGGGTGTTGGTAATTTTGATAATTTTTACCAGTTTGCCTTTGCTAGGGGTTTGCTAACTTGCTATTTTACAAGACATACTGGTATCAATTATAATTCTTAGAAAAATGGTTAATTTCCACATTTTTATATTCCCAAATTATTTTTCAAGTGTGAGTAGGAAAATTTGGAGTTAACTGAGGTAGATATTGTTTTCAGTGTGAATGCCAGGAAAAGCAAGGTTGTCATCCTTCTGAGACTTTTTTCCCCTTTTTTTAAAGCTAGGATACAGCAGAAGGCCAAAACTTTTGAAGCTTGAGTTTTAATCCTGACTTTGCGACTAGCCTCTTTTGTAAAAGGAAGATGGTAATTTATTTTCTTTCTACTTTATAAGGTGTTAGGATAAAAATGAGAATACATAAAATACTTAAAAATATTGGAAACCAAAAAATATATATATTGGAAACAAATTTCTGCTTTACTGCAGAAACTCAGAATTGAATGAAAATATGTTCTGAATAACAGATGAGATCCAAAGAATTTGCAGTTGGGAAATTAGCAAATAGAATATCTGAAGCAAATCAGGGAGCTCAGAAAATAGGGTGAGCTATTCCTCAAGTAGGTAATCTCAGTTTCACTCAGTGAAACTTGCTGATGCTAGAGATAAGAATGCTCAAAGTTCTTATGTACTCTTTGTTGTTTTAGTTGATGAGAAAAGAAAATCCAAAACTACACACATGGTACTCCTAGAAATCATTAAAGAAGAAGGCCTGTAAGTACTACCTCATTTCACAACTTTGTTAGGCAGAGCAACTTGTTAGCAACTTGTTCCTGTGCCTCCAATACACCTAAATTCTCTGTCCATTCTTATAGCCTCATAATGTGAATTTGTAATTTCCTGACTAATAAGTACATAAATGTTTTCAGTTCCTTAAAGATCTGTGGTTAGCCATTTGATTCATAATTATGGAGTCTTCCAGGAAACCAGTGCTTTGTTTAATGCATAATAAACCAAAAATAATAGTTGTTCAGGGGCTGAGACTTGCCTTTGAGAGGCCCTAGGTTCAATACCCAGCATAGGGAAAATAAAGAGAGGGAAGGGAAGAGAAAGGTAAGGAAGAAAGAAATCAGTTGTTTGAGTTCATTCCTATCATTCAGACAGATTGCATACTTCTTATTTTTTAAAAAAACATGTACTTGGAAATAGTTTCAAATTTACAAAAAGTTGTAAAAGTAAAATTTACTAAATTTAGTACCAAAGAACACCAGGATATGCTTTAACCAGATTCTTCTGTTAACGCTTTCCACCATCATTTTAAATTTATGCTCACACTCTCCCTTCCTTTTGCTTCTGTCTTTATTACGTACACATACACCACACACAATTTTTTTCAGATAGTTGAGAATAAGTTATATGTATTAAAACCTTTTAAACTTACAACATTGACACTTTTTTTTTTTACTTTAGATTTGGTAATGGATTCTTTTTTTTTTTTTAATTTTTATTGTTTTATTATTCATATGTGCATACAATGCTTGGGTCATTTCTCCCCCCTGTCCCCACCCCCTCCCTTACCACCCTCTCCCCCCCTCCCCCCCCCCCTCAATACCCAGCAGAAACTATTTTGCCCTTATCTAATTTTGTTGAAGAGAGAGTATAAGCAATAATAGGAAGGAACAAGGATTTTTGCTAGTTGAGATAAGGATAGCTATACAGGGCATTGACTCACATTATTTCCTGTGCGTGTGTTACCTTCTAGGTTAATTCTTTTTGATCTAACCTTTTCTCTAGTTCCTGGTCCCCTTTTCCTATTGGCCTCAGTTGCTTTTAAGGTATCTGCTTTAGTTTCTCTGTGTTGAGGGCAACAAATGCTAGCTAATTTTTTAGGTGTCTTACCTATCCTCACCCCTCCCTTGTGTGCTCTCGCTTTTATCATGTGCTCAAAGTCCAATCCCCTTGTTGTGTTTGCCCTTGATCTAATGTCCACATATGAGGGAGAACATACGATTTTTGGTCTTTTGGGCCAGGCTAACCTCACTCAGAATGATGTTCTCCAATTCCATCCATTTACCAGCGAATGATAACATTTCTTTCTTCTTCATGGCTGCATAAAATTCCATTGTGTATAGATACCACATTTTCTTGATCCATTCGTCAGTAGTGGGGCATCTTGGCTGTTTCCATAACTTGGCTATTGTGAATAGTGCTGCAATAAACATGGGTGTGCAGGTGCCTCTGGAGGAACCTGTGTCACAGTCTTTTGGGTATATCCCCAAGAGTGGTATTGCTGGATCAAATGGTAGATCAATGTTTAGCTTTTTAAGTAGCTTCCAAATTTTTTTCCAGAGTGGTTGTACTAGTTTACATTCCCACCAACAGTGTAAGAGGGTTCTTTTTTCCCCCGCATCCTCGCCAACACCTGTTGGTGGTGGTGTTACTAATCATGGCTATTCTAACAGGGGTGAGGTGGAATCTTAGGGTGGTTTTAATTTGCATTTCCTTTATTGCTAGAGATGGTGAGCATTTTTTCATGTGTTTTTTGGCCACTTGAATTTCTTCTTTTTTTAATTTTTTTTTCTTTTATTATTCATATGTGCATACAAGGCTTGGGTCATTTCTCCCCCCTGCCCCCCACCCCCTCCCTTACTACCCACTCTGCCCCCTTCCTCTCCCCCTGACCCCCTCAATACCAGCAAGAAACTATTTTTGCCCTTATTTCTAATTTTGTTGTAGAGAGAGTATAAGCAATAATAGGAAGGAACAAGGGTTTTTTGCTGGTTGAGATAAGGATAGCTTACAGGGCATTGACTTCACATTGATTTCTGTGCGTGGGTGTTACCTTCTAGTTTAATTCTTTTGATTAACCTTTTCTCTAGTTCCTGTCTCCTTTTCCTATAGCCTCAGTTGCTTTTAAGGTATCTGCTTTAGTTTCTTCTGCATTAAGGGCAACAAATGCTAGCTAATTTTTTAGGTGCTTACCTATCCTCACCCTCCCTGTGTGCTCTTGCTTTTATCATGTGCTCAAAGTCCAATCTATTGTTGTGTTTGCCCTTGATCTAATGTCCACCATTTGAATTTCTTCTTTTTGAGAAAGTTCTGTTTAGTTCACATTGCCATTTCTTTATCGTTTCATTAGTTTAGGAGAATTTAAGTTTTTAAGTTCCTATATATTCTGGTTATCAGTCCTTTGTCTGATGTATAGCTGGCAAATATTTTTTCCCACTCTGTGGGTGGTCTCTTCAGTTTAGAGACCATTTCTTTTGATGAACAGAAGCTTTTTAGTTTTATGAAGTCCCATTTATCTATGCTATCTCTTAGTTGCTGTGCTGCTGGGGTTCCATTGAGAAAGTTCTTACCTATACTTACTAACTCCAGAGTATTTCCCACTCTTTCCTATATCAACTTTAGAGTTTGTGGTCTGATATTAAGATCCTTGATCCATTTTGAGTTAATATTGGTATAGGGTGATATACATGGATCTAGTTTCAGTTTTTTGCAGACTGCTAACCAGTTTTCCCAGCAGTTTTTGTTGAAGAGGCTGCTTTTTCTCCATCGTATATTTTTAGCACCTTTGTCAAAGACAAGTTGGTTATAGTTGTGTGGCTTCATATCTGGGTCCTCTATTCTGTTCCACTGGTCTTCATGTCTGTTTTTGTGCCAGTACCATGCTGTTTTTATTGTTATTGCTTTGTAATATAGTTTGAAGTCAGGTATCGTGATACCTCCAGCATTGTTCTTTTGACTGAGTATTGCCTTGGCTATTCGTGGTCTCTTGTGTTTTCATATAAATTTAACGGTAGATTTTTCAATCTCTTTAATGAATGTCATTGGAATTTTGATGGGAATTGCATTAAACATGTAGATTACTTTTGGGAGTATAGACATTTTTGCTATGTTGATTCTACCAATCCATGAGCATGGGAGATCTTTCCACTTTCTATAGTCTTCCTCATTCTCTTTCTTCAGAAGTATATAGTTTTCCTTGTAGAGGTCATTCACATCTTTTGTTAGGTTTACACCTAGGTATTTGATTTTTTTTGAGGCTATTATAAATGGAATTGTTTTCATACATTCTTTTTCAGTTTGTTCATTATTAGTGTATAGAAATGCTAATGATTTTTCTATGTTGATTTTATATCCTGCTACCTTGCTGTAGCTATTGATGATGTCTAGAAGCTCCTGAGTAGAGTTTTTTTGGGTCTTTAAGGTATAGGATCATGTTGTCTGCAAATAGGGCTATTTTGACAGTTTCTTTACCTATTTGTATTCCTTTTATTCCTTCTTCTTGCCTAATTTCTCTGGCTAGGAATTCCAGTACTATTTGAATAGGAGTGGAGATAGTGGGCATCCTTGTCTGGTCCCTGATTTTAGAGGGAATGGTTTCAGTTTTTCTCCATTAAGTATAATTCTGGCTGTAGGTTTGTCATATATAGCTTTTATAATGTTGAGGTACTTTCCTTCTATTCCTAGTTTTCTTAGAGCTTTTATCATGAAATGGTGTTGGATCTTATCAAAGGCTTTTTCTGCATCTATTGAGATGATCAAGTGGTTTTTGTCTTTGCTTCTGTTAATGTGCTTTATTATGTTTATTGATTTTCGTAACAACATTGACACTTTTAAAGAATAGTCTCCATTTCCATGCACTTAAAAAAAAATAAGAGTGTTTCTCATTTTTTAAGTTTGCTTCATGATTAGATTGAGGTTACATGTTCTTGGTCAGAATACTGAATAAATAGGTAGTCAGGTACAGTGGTGCACACCTATAGTCCCAACTACTCAGGAGGCTAAAGCAGAAGGGTTGTTTAAGCTGATTCAGGGTCAGCCTGGACAATATAGCAAGAACTTATCTCTTTTTTAAAAAGAGAAAGAAAGAAAGGAAGTTAAGGAGGGAGAAGGGGAAAAATACATACTGTGTCCTTCTCAGGACATAGTATCTGGAATCACATATTGTCCACCTTAATTTTTTTTTCTTTTTTAACTATACATAGTCTGTGGGAAGATTATTTAAGACAATGCAAATAAGTTCTCTGAATTTGCCATGAAATTGCAAATGAGATTTTCCAACTCCTCCATTGCCTTCACATTTACTGTTCTTGACATTCTGTTGTAAGCAGGAGGCTTTTCTTTTCCCTTTATTAATTTATAACCAATATGGACTTAGAAATTCCTATTTTCAATGATTTATAGTTGATTACTTAATTACTTCAGTGCTGAAATTGTTCCTTCAGTTTAGTTCCTGTGTTCTTATGACATGCTCCATCATTTCTTGTTTGCACTTTGCTGTTGCCCTATCCAACAAGACATAGTAGCACAGACCTGTAGTCCTAGCTACTCATAGGCTGAGGCAAGAGGATTGCTTGAGTCCAGGAGTTTGAGAGCAACCTGAACAACATAGTGAGATTCTGTCTCAGAAAAAAGAAAGAAGTATTAATAAAGGAAGCAGTTCTGTTAAATCAACTTAAGGAACATTTTTTTTTTTTTTAATGTTTTTGACCTATAGTAAAATGTGAATGATGCTGTGTTACTAACAGCCATGGGAAAACTGTCTCCAGTTTTACATGCTAATGTTATTAAAGGCAATAAATGGAGGAAATCAGTAAATCAGTTGTTAACTTTGTATTGTTTTATCATTAATGTTGGTATCATTTATCATTAATTGTTGGTATCATTAATGATAGAAGAATTTCTTGATTTGGACATCCTTCAGAATGTAAAGTGTGTATATGATTTGGAATCCATTATAATATAGGAGTGAACCTTTTCTAGGATTTCTCTAGCAGTGTCTAAATGGCTTTTGTCCATGACTTTTACTTTGTTTATTGTGTTTTTCCCCTAGCCTGGCACCATATCGAGGGTGGTTTCCAGTCATTTCCAGTCTCTGCTGCTCCAATTTTGTCTATTTCTACACTTTTAATAGCCTCAAAGCAGTCTGGGTCAAAGGCCAACGTTCTACTACTGGCAAAGATCTAGTAGTTGGATTTGTTGCAGGTAATGGTGTTTTCTGGGTATAAATTTTTTTTTTAATTTTAATATTGATCCTGTAGTTTATATATCCTCTATGAGATTATTTTAGCACAGAGTAATATGACAAAGAGTAGCAGGCGTGTTGGTACATGGCTATAATTTTAGCACTCTGGGAGGCTGGGGCAGGAGGATTATGAGTTTGAGGCCAGCCTGGACTACATATTGAGTTCCAGGCCAGTTTGAGCTACATAGTGAGACCCTGTCTCCAAAAAGCTGAAAAGGCTGGGCACTGATGGTTCACATCTATAATCCTAGCTACTCAAGAGGCAGAGATCAGGAGGATCACTATTCGAATCCAGCCCTGGATTTGTGAAACTATATTTCAAAAACACCCAACACAAAACAGGGCTGGTGGAGTTGTTCAAGTGGTAGAATGACTGCCTACCAAGCATGAGGCCCTGAGTTCAAGCCTCAGTGCCAAAAATAGGAATAAAAAACAAAATTCACCATTTTAACCATTTTAAGTATGTTAGTAATGTTAAGTATATTCACATTGTTGTGAAATACATCTCCAGAACTTTTTCATCTTATAAGCTTTACTTCATACCCCTTAAATAACCTCCCCCTTTCTCCTCCCCCAACCTTTGGTTACCATCATTTTACTATAATAGGTACTTAAACTGCTTTTGCTGAAAAGCACTGATTCCTTACTGGTACCAATGAACTAACTGAAAGCAATATAGAAGCTAGGCATCCTAGCCTCCATTTTGTATCTGTGTCCTTTGCTCTGAGCCATTCTCTTCTGTAGTTGCTTTACAGCCATCTTGGAATCCAGAAAGGACAGGACTGATGGATAAACATCTTGTGACAGGAGTCAAAGCTACCCCCTGCCAGGAAGCAATGGCTCTTATTTTAACAAGGCCCCACTTGACCAATTCTGAGACAATAAGCAACTGGACCACCTGTTACTGCCACCTATAACTACTAGAACATATCAGTGTCTGGGACTTCTTTTTCATGATACTAGGGATTGAACCCAGGGCCTTATCATGCTAGGCAAACACTGAATCACTGAGCTACACTCCAAGCCCCTGGGACTGTTTAATAATTATGCATACCTCTCTCTCCTTACCCCCATTTCTTCCTCTTATTTAAACCTAAGACAAACGTATGTATAGGGAGGGTAGATTGAAATGTATACCTTTCCTCTTCACATAGCACAAGGGCCCTTGCTGTGTTAATTAAATCTCCTTTCTCTGGTCTTTGACATGTCTGGTCTGTTTACCTTGCATATTGGAATGAGTGACCAGACCTGATACATAGAACCAAGGAAGTTGGGCTTCAGGCCCAAAACTCCTGTAATACTTAAGAATTTGACTACTTTAGATACCTTATGTAAGTGGACTCATACAGTACTTGTGTTTTTGTGACTGACTTAGTTTCAGAATATGTGCTCATAGTCAGAGGAACCAGCCATGTGATTAAAGGGGAGGGGAAAGGGGTTGCAAGTTGAGTTCAGTCATCAGTTATGATAGCCGACTACTGACTAGTATGCCCATGCACTATAACTTCTGTCCACTGTGTTCTACATTACAAAGAGTAAAATTTGTCTTTTCTCAAACTTGCTTTTGTCCATTCTATCTGTTATTACAAGCAAAACATTATGGTATGTACCCTCCTATGCCAAACTGTGATTCCTTAATAGTACCAAACCTTTAGTGGTAATTTTTTCTTTATAGCAACTGTGGTCTGTCTGAAAATAAGTCTTTATTGCTTATTTTATTCTGTTACCTCCTATTGATCCTTTTATTCTCAGCTGCTTCCTCTTCAGGACTTCTTCCCTGGTTTCCCTTACCTACCTGAAGGTTTCATTTTGGGTTCAGTACCCTTCCTCTACCCCTTCTACTTCCTAGCAAATAAGAGTGGGCTACGTCATAATGAGTCTGCATATTCTTTTTCTTCTTCTTTATTTTTGTATATTCTTCTTTATCTTGTACTAGATAGTGAGCACCTTAAAGTCAGAGATAACCTTTTGTTATCTTCACATACCCAGAATCCTAGCACACTACCTGGAAAGGAAGGTGCTGATTCAAAATAGAGGACTGGGATGTGAGGGCGATCTGGCTGCGACATCTGTCACCCCATTGATCGCCAGGGTTGATTCGGCTGATCTGGCTGGCTAGGCTGGTGTCCCCTTCCTCCCTCACCGCTCCATGTGCGTCCCTCCCGAAGCTGCGCGCTCGGTCGAAGAGGACGACCATCCCCGATAGAGGAGGACCGTTCTTCGGTCAAGGGTATACGAGTAGCTGCGCTCCCCTGCTAGAACCTCCAAACAAGCTCTCAAAATAGAGGACTGTTACTCCTAAAGCCATCTCCATTTTACTAAATGGCAACACTAGTGTTCTAGTTACCTTACTAAAAAAACCTAAATTTATCTTCTTTTTCTTTTTCTCTGACCCCACCTCCACTGCTTGCTCACATACTCTTACCTCTTTCTTTACTCGGCATCCAGAATTCAACTACAGTAATCCTCCCTTATCTGCAGAAGAAATGTTCCAAGGCCCCTAGTGGATGCCTGAAACTGCAAATAGTACCAAACTCTATGTATTATATGGGATAGAGTATAGTGTAATATTTCCTATACACATATACCTGTGGTAAAGTTTAATTGATAAATTAGGTATAATAAGAGATTAATAACAATGATAAATAGAATTGTTATAATAATATACTATAATAACAGTTTTAACTTATGAGTTACTTATTCATGGCATTTTCCATTTAATATTTTTGTGCCACAGCTCAGGTAATGGAAACTGCAGAACATGAAACTTTAGATAGGACAGCTACTATACTTCTCTCCATTACCACCTGAGATCCAACCTGTTGTATCTGTTAGGTACAGAATCTATCAGATCTTGCCTGGATTATCTTCAGAGCCTCCTGACTGATCTCAGGCTTCTTCTTTTGCCCCCTTATAGCTGTATTCAGCTTAGCAGCCAATGTGATCATTTTAAAGCCTAACTGAGAGCATATCATTTCTCTTTTGAGAGCCTTCCAGTTACTTCCCATCTCACTCAGTGTAAAAGCCAAAATCCTTACCTTGTCCTACAAAGCACTAAATGACCTGGCCCTCCTGTTCTTCTCTTCACTCATACTGCTACAGCTACCCTTGCCTCTTTTCTCCTTCTTGAACACTCCTGTGCTGCTTCTGCCTGTATACCTGCTGTTTCCTCTGCTGATAATTGCTCAGTTAACTCTCTCAGCTCCTTTAAGGTCTTTTAAATGGCCACACTGTCAGAAATGATATCCCTTTTATTCCTTAATTCTTTCTATCCCCCTTCTCTACTTAAATTTTGTCCTCAGCCCTTATTTTTTAACATGCTATGTATTTTGACTTATTAATCGTGTGTCCTATACCATTAGATTGTAAGCTTTTCTTACTTCTGTATATTTAGCACGAGGCTTAGCACAGTCATTTCTGTAATCTTTATTATTAAAACTAATACATAATACTCAGGCTTATTTATATGTGCAATACATGTACATGGTGTGTAGTGATCAAATCAGGGAAATTGGCTTTCTCTCTTCCCAAATATTATCATTTTTATATGTTTGGGGCCTCAGACTTTTCTCCTCTTAGTTATTTTGAAATGTACAATAATTTTTTTCTGGCAGCAATAGGGTTTGAACTCAGGGCCTCACACTTGCTAGGCAGGTACTATACCACTTGAGCCACTCCATCAGCCAACAAAACATATAATAAATTATTTTAAACTCTATTTACCCTGCTATTTAATAGAACATTATAACTAATTCCCTACCTAACCATATTTGGTACCTACTTTCCATCTTCTCTATCCTTGCTTCTTCTCTCCCTTTCCTAACTTCTAGTGACCTCTATTTTATTACCTAGTTCTATGTGATCAACTTTTTTAGCTTCCTCAAAGTGAAAACATTTCTGGATCAGGATTATTTTATTTAAAATAATGTCCTCCAGTTCCATCCATGTTGCCACAAATGACAGGATTTCATTCTTTTAACAGAGGAATAATATTCCATTTTGTATATATACCACATTTTTCTTTATCCATTCAACTGTCAATAAACATCTTTTTTTTTAAGGCGGTACTGGGGTGTGAACTCAGGGCTTCATGCTTGCTAGGCAGGTGCTCCAGCCCCAATAAGCATTTTGATTGATTCCATATCTTCACTGTTGAGAATAGTGCTGCAATAAATAGGGGCATTCAGTCATCTCTTTGACACAATTATTTCACTTCTCTAGGATATATACCTGTTAGTGGGATTGCTGGGTAATATGATAATTCTGTTTTCATTTTTTAAGGAAACTCCATCATGCTACATTCCCACCCAGCAGTGTTTAAGAGTTCCCCTTTCTCCACATCCTTGTCAGCATTTCTTATTTTTTGTCTGTTTTTTTCATTTATTTTTTAACTGAAACATAAAAGCATAAAAATTGTATTAATGGAGTGATGTGACATTTCTATCTTTTTGATAATAACCATTCTAACTGAGACAAGATATCTCATTGTGGTTTTGATTTGCATTTTTTTGATGATTAGGCCCACAGTATAAATTTGATGAGCTGACTGTTAATATCAATTAAAATATATTGTCTCAACAACTATTGGGAAAAAGTAGACTACAGGGGGAAAAGTGAATGCCTGACTTTTGAGATTTTAAAATTTTAAGTGAATAATCACTGAGTGATTGGATTAGATCAGTAGTTTTCAACTGAGGCTAATTTTGACTCCAGTTCATAGGGCAGTGTCTGTACCCATTTTTGATTGTCACATTGGGGTGCTATTGGTATCTAGTGGATAGAGGCCAGGGATACTGCTAAACATCCTACATAGTAACACACATGTACACAATAAAGACTCATCTAGCCCAAGATGTCAATATTGTAATAGTTGAATGGCCTTAGATTAAAGAACTTTACGAGATTTTCATGATTCTGAGATTCTCGGATTAGAGGTCCTCTCTCTGGTGGTAGAGAATTTCTTGGAAATCACTTTTGTGAGTTTTAAATTTCTCTCCATAACATGTTTTGTATCTAAATAAGTACACATTTTTACAATAATTAGAACAGCTTTTTCTCTTCCTCTTCTGAGTCTTGTTTCATATTATCACTGTAGAAATGAGTTTCATTATCTCATAGGAATACTAGAAAAGCTTTATTGTTATTTAAATTCTGCTTGAAATGTACGCATTTATTATTATTTATTGTATTTGCATCAAAACACAAGTCCATAAACACTCTGGGGAAGAATTTGGGAATAGAACCTTACAGATAAACTTAAATGAAGAAGATACTTGCCATTTTTGTGAAACTGAAAATTTTACCAATATTTCTCTGAATGACAATTATTATTGTTGAGATAGTTCAAATTGCATTTCCTGTCTTCAGGCCCTAAATCTGGCAAGTCAGGTTTGTTGTTGTTGTGTATCAAATTGTATTCCTCCTGAAGGGAGTTAAATGGCTAGCTAGCTTTATGGCTGTTACCTGCCACTTTCTTATATTAGTGGTCATTACACATATTTCTCAGCAATACATACCCAATTGGCATACCTTATTTTTGTTTTCTCTCTTTAACCAAGGAGGCTCACTGCTGATAAAACTATTTGCTTTCAAGTGCTTTCCCTTTACCCTCCAAAGATTTGCTAAAATGAACTGACAGGAGAAAAGGCATACAAATTTATTTAGCTAGCACAGGAGGAACCACAGGAAAGTGGTTACCCAATAACCCAGTGAGGTTCAGTTGCTTATATGCCTTTCTTTTGTGGGGGAGGGCTGGTACTCATGGCTTCACCCTTGCTAGGCAAGCACTCAACCCCTTGAGCCATTCTGCTAGTCCATATAAGTGGACTTCTTAATAGGGGAGAAGGAGGTAATTTTTGAGGGGTAATAAATGATTTTTAGGTGGGGAAAGAATGGGCCTGGAGCCTAGTCAACTGTTTGTAAATTACTCTTTTTTAAAGTTGAATGGGCCAGGGAAACAAAATAGTTTGTGACAAAAATCTATCCAGGTAGGGAAATATTCCTGTTTGCCTTCCAATAATAGTTTTGTTTATGAACTCTCATGGAGGGGACCAAAGGCAATTGCTTTCCTGTTTGGAAGGTCTGGTCTTTTAGCTAGACAAATAAACATCAGAGTAAAGTCCCTTCCAACATTCTCCCTACCCCCAAAGGCCTAAAGTTTAAAAATAATCGACATGCCAGTGTGCTACATTTTGGGGTGATGCTCCTTGGACTCTTCGCCTGAATGGTGAATAGTTGTAGTGTGTTCAGTTATTGTTCTTCATCTCTTAATTTTAGTTCTGTTTTCTTGTTAATAATTTCTTATTGAAAAAAAAAATAGAATCGTAGACATTCAAGTTAGAAGAAAATTAACCTCTTGTCCTTAGGTAAGTATTAATTAGTATTCCCCTCTTCCAGCTAAAATAGCATTTACAGATTGGAACCAGCAAGAGTTTTCTACACAGCCTTGTAAATAAACAGCTTTCTTTGTCTTTAGTTTGTCATGCATTATTAAGAGTTGGAATTAGTAGTTATGAATAGTTTGTGACATGTTTCTCAATAGACTGTTTGTTCTTTGCTTGATTATATAAGTTGCAAATTTTAGTAACATTTTAGATTCTCAACCATTTTGAGTCTTTTCCCAGAATTCATAAAATTATAGTGGTTAATGAATACCTGTCTCCATCTATTTTGGCTTAGAGAATGAAAAAAGTACTTGAACTTCTCAAATAAAAAGCTTTGAGTTGCAAAATATTTTATAAGGACTTCTTATGTACTCTTTTTAAAATAATGTAGTCCATTTTGTACTTAAGGTTGTCCTTAGAATTCTTTCAGTCTTTCAGCTGTGTTAATAATGAAGACACAAAAGCAGAATTTTAGATAATGGTTAAGTCTTAATCTTGCTGCATTGCCTCTTAAGTGTTTTGTTTGCCTGCCTCTTGAATAGAACATGATGGAAACTTGATTTCTAAAGAATTTGCTTAATGGACAGCATATTTCATTTATTGGGGAAGGTATGTGCACTGTGCCTTTCTTGGGTAACCATGGGAGCTTTTGATGCTGATACTGAGCTCTCCTCTCTTCCTTTTTGCTTAAAAGAAAAAAAAATGCAGTAGACTGCTCAGTAGTACTTTCAAATCTGATTCCTCCAGCTGTTGACTTGGCTCTACTAAGTGAAGTATGCACTACATTGAATCCATTCTAAACTTTATGCAGATGGTAATATATTGATATCCTTTCTATATTGGCTTCTAAGGCACTGGTACTTTTTAAAAATGAGACTAGTGTGCTGGAGGTAAGACTCAAGCAGTAGAGCATCTGCCTAGTTAGAGCAAAGTCCTGAGTTCAGCCCCCAGTACTGCCAGAAAGAAAGAAAGAGAGAAAGAGACTAACAAGAATCTTTTTTGGTAAGAGTTTTTCAGATTATGGTAATGCCTCAAATGATCATGTATGAATATATTGTCATAACTGAAAGAATTCTTGCTGTATGTGAATCTATAAAAATGTAACAAAACTCAAAATTATTTGAATGTCTTTTATTTATTTATTTTTTTTTGGTGGTACTGCAGTTTGAACTCAGGACTTAGTGCTTGCTAGGCAAGTGCTCTACCACTTGAATCACACCTGCAGCCCTTTTACTTTATTTTTCAGTACTGGGGTTTGAGCTCAGGGCCTTGTGTTTGCTAAACAGTCACTTTATCACTTGAACCATGCCCCAGCCCTTGAATGTCATTAATTTTGAGAAATATGTTCTTATATCTTACTAAGAGATAGGAAAATATCTTACTTTTGCACTGTGAATAGCAAATGAAAACACTGGATTTGAGTCTCTTGGCTATTTCACCAGATTTATCCTCGGCAAAGCTATTTTCTGTATAGTATGTTTTGAGATTCCTTAAATCATACCATTCTTTCTCTTATTTGTGGTTAAAGAACTTCTAGTAAAAGGCTTTTCTTCCTTAGAACTGTGCCCCTTTGTTGTTTAGAGCATGATTAGAGCCAGACAACTCCGTATATGCTTATTTGCTGAGTTTGTTCCTTAGTTAATACATATTTACACATATATACTGGGTGTCAGGTACTTTGTTACAATTCTATGTGGTATTTTTTTAAAATCATTTCAGGACTTGTGAGGAACATTTTGCTATCTCAAGATGGAGTTAAATTGGAACCATATGTTTTCAAAAGAGAAGCAGCTGCTCTTTGTATTGTTCTACTCTGAGGCAGCCTTAGGGGGCCAAGATCCATCCTTATGCTTGTAAGGATTGTGATGCGTGTGGAGCTGACTCAGGTGTTTTGTGACACTTAATAACTACTGCTTGCTGCCTGCTTGTCCTAATTTTCTAAGTGATAAGGAACTCTTCTATGAGCTTCTAGTCCCTGTCTAAGCACTTTGAAATGTCACTGTGTTCTCCCACCTGTCACCCATTGTACCAGATCCATACTCACTTAAAACCATGTGAGCTACTTATGTGAGAGTTGGCAGTTCTGTTTTCTGTGATAATTGTCTTGGACTTAGCATGTTATCAATAAGCCACCTCCCTCTCTCTAAAGCTATATAGCTAAAAATTGTATTTAAAGCTATATATTAAAAAAAAGCAGCTTTGATTTTGGGGGTAGTTTTGGGTTTTATTGTTTGTTTGTTTTTTGCAGTTCTGGGGGTGGAACCCTGGACCTAATGCATGTTAGGCAAGTATCCTACACTGCTCTATACCCCCCACCCCAAATTGGTACTTTGAATGCTATAAAAGTGGGGGAATGGTTGCCTCCTATTGTACAATTAAAGGAACTCACTACTCTTTTCATGTGAAGAGGTACTGCTTCCAGCTGTTTTGCTACCAGATTGCTTCTATTAGTAGTGGCATGTGTTGTACCCTGGCACAAAGACACCTTATCTGAGGTCAGTGGCAGAAGTATATGGGAATATACTTTAAGTAGCTTTAAGATAGCAAAGCTGAAGAGGTTACATTTTACTTTCCTTTTGTCTTGCCCTCTTTCTTTTTAAGGAGTTGTGAATGTTTTGCTAACAACTCCACTCTGGGTGGTAAACACCAGACTGAAGCTGCAAGGGGCAAAATTTCGCAATGAGGATATTGTACCAACAAACTACAAAGGCATTATGGGTAAGTGTCTCTTGGCTGTGCTCCTCTTCAAGGATTTGTTCCTCTTTACATATGGAATCTATTGACACATAATGGGCAGCCTCAAGTTCCAGTAACCTTCAGTAAGCATTTGTTAGCTCATGTGTCTGTAGGTTGTCAGGGATTTGACTGTAGGCTGGCTCAGAGTCTCAGCTCTGCATGTCTCCCCTCCTCTTCCTGGGACCAGCCTTGAACATATTTTTCTCATGGCAATGGTTAAAACACAAGAGAACATACCCAGTCATACAATCATATTTAGAAAGTCCCTATTTGCATCTTCCTTAATGGCCAAACCACATCATATTGCCAGACCCAAGACAAGCAGTAGAGAAGTATACTGCTTTGAAGGAGTATAGATATGGTAAATATGTACATCTGTGTGTGTGTGTAAATATATATGTGATATGTGATAGTTCATGTAATTTCATAAGATTTTTCCCTTTTTGTTTTTCTTTTTTTTGGGTTTGTTTTGTAGTCTTGTGGATTGATCCCAAACCCTCAAGCATGTTAGGCACGTACTGTGTTATGAGCTATACCCCTAATTTTTTAAATTTATTTTTTAGGTACTGAGGTTTGATCTCAGGGCCTTGTGCTTATTATACAAGTACTCTACCACTTGAGCCCCTAGTCCTTTTTTCCTTTAGTTATTATTTTAGTCATAATGGTCTTACATTTTTTGCCCCAGGCTAGCCTCAGACTGAGATTTTCATACCAAAACCACCCCATGTAACTGGAATGACAGGAGCATGCCACTGCATCTGGCTTATTGGTTGAAATGGGATCTCACTAACTTTTTGCCTGGACTGGCCTCAAACCATAATCCTCCCAATCCTTGTCTCCTGAGTAGCTAGTATTATAGGTATGAGCCACCATTCCTGGCCCCAAGAAGCATATTTTTGAAGAATAATCTATCCACTTTTTTTTTGCCCCAAGTGATCTCTTTGGATAATGATACCAGATTGATAGCTGATGCTTTGAGCTTCTGCTTTTTTTTTTTTTTTTCCTCATTTTTTTTTAGTATATATTCCTTGTACAGGAGGGGATTTGTTGTGACAATTCTGAATAGCCTTACATTGTACATTGGTTAGATCGTCCCCCAAGCTTCTGCCTTTTCATAGCACTACATTATCATGTGCTCTTTTCTCAAACAGTGATTCTCTTCTAAATCAAATCCTATGTAGTAGATTCCAGGAAATGATCTTATTTTTTGTTATACGGGACCTGGTTGTGAAGCATGTGGATTATCAAGTTCAGTTCTGTGGTGGTGAAAACTGGCATTCTAATACCGGATTGTCAGAAGGAGTTGTTTGAGATTGAGGACAATCTCTCAGTAACTTGGTGATTATTATTATTAAAAGGTAGTTAATTGCCAGGTGTGGTGGTACATGCCTATAATCACAACACTTGGGAGACTGGGTATAAGGATCTAGAGTTTGAAGTCAGACTGGGCTACATAGTATGTTCCAGGCCAGCTTGGGCTACTTAGTGAGACCCTGTCTCAAAAATAAACAACAACAAAAAAGATAGTTAACTCATGAACTTGCCACTAAAATGTTACAGCAAGAAGGAACTCTGCATAGAACCAGTCTGGTTTGTGTTCTGGACACATTTGAACAGAATTCCTTTTGCCTCTTTAGTTAGAGCATTGTCATCATGCTTTTCAAACCTCTCATTTCTTGCTTAGATGCTTTCCACCAGATTATTCGAGATGAAGGGATCTTGGCTTTGTGGAATGGCACATTTCCTTCCTTGCTGTTGGTCTTCAATCCTGCCATCCAGTTCATGTTCTACGAAGGTTTAAAACGGCAGCTTTTAAAGAAACGGATGAAGGTAACCCCTGATTTTGCAAGCAACCAAATAATAATCCTGACATCTTCTTGTTGTTTTGATTTATATGGCTCATTCTTTCATTCCAGCTTTCTTCTTTGGATGTGTTCATCATTGGTGCAATAGCCAAAGCTATTGCCACCACAGTCACCTATCCCATGCAGACAGTACAATCAATCCTGAGGGTGAGTCTTGGGGTTCTCCCTGCATGGAGTCCTACAACATCCTAAAGTACCTAAGATCTCTGTCTCTTTCTCTTGTTTGTCTGTCTCTGTCTCTCAGAGGTACTGGGGTTTGAACTCAGGGCCTCATGCTTGCTAGGCAAGCACTCTACCACTTGAGACTTGTTCCGAGCCCTTTATGCTTTAGTTATTTCTCGAATAGACTGCCCAGGATCAGCCTCAAACCATAATCGTTTTACCTATGACTCCTGGGTACCTGGGATTATCCATATGCTCAGTCATGCCCAACTTTTGGTTGAGATTGGATCTTGGTAACTTTTTGCCCAATCTCTCTGCTTCTTGAATAACTGGGTTTATAGGTATGGCTACAGTACCTGGCCTACATAGTCTCTTTATTTAAAGCAATGTTAATAAGGCAATCAGGCAGTCAGTTGGTATACCTGAGTATTCCCCATCCTTCTTCCATTTGTTTGATACTCTGTTAACCAGGCTGGCTCTCAGTTGACTTCCTGTTTTGTGGGAAATGAAGTTTACATTTGCAGTTTCTTAGGTAACATAGTATGTCAAAAAACCCATGTGTGGGAAAAGGCCTTTAAGGACCTCAGGAAAGCATAAATTTGCTTCCTTCTCATTTAAGAGCAGATTATCCTTTACTAAGTCAGATGTTAATTCCTTTAGTTCACTCAGGAGGAATTAATGATTTAGCTCTTCCAAAATACTTCCAAATTTCACTTTTTTCCATAAATTCAGCTACTTATCCATTCAAATATTTATTAAGCACTCACTCTATTTGAGAAGTTGAACATACAGTGGTGACTAAAACAGGCATAAGTCTTGCCCTTGTGGAGCTAGTGGAAGACAGAATGAGAAAGTAAAAAATGAAATAAATTGGTAATTACAAATTGAAAGAAAGGCTATTAAGGAAATGAACAGTGCTCTTAGTGGAGAAGAGTGAAATGGGAAATCTTAGGCAGCTTCATTGACTGTGGGCTCCTGGAGGCATGTTGAAATCAAGATGTACAGGAAGATAAGGGCCCTACCCTGCAAAGGATAGAGGAAAGTACATTCCAGGAATAGGAAGTATGATGTGCCAGGTGTTTGCTGCATCCTGGGAACTGAATCGAGGCCTCTATGACTGGGGAATGGCTCACTCAGGGTGAGACTGGATGAGTAGCAGGGAATCTATAGGTCAAGAGTTGCAGGTACGGAAATTTTACTCTCAGTACAATAGGAAGCCGCTGAAGGGCTTGAAGCTGGTCAGTAACATGGTCTGATACACAATTCCAGAAGACTACTCTGGCAAATTCATGAGAAGCTAAGAGTTAAAAGTGGGATGGAAATCAGGAAGGGGACCATTTCAGTAATCCAGGTGAGAGATGATTGGCATAGGCTAGGGTGGCAGTAGAGAGAAAAAATACCATGTCAACATATTCAAGACTTGTTCTGGGGTAGAAGTACAGCTCAGTAGTAGAGCATTTACCTAGCATGTGGGAGACCCTGGGTTTGATCCCCAGCACTGCAAAAAAGAAAGAAAGAAAATTATTTTGGAAAGAAAACATAAAAGACAGCATCTTGCTAGATAAAATGAAGGTAAGAGTAAGGGTATTTCAGTTTTTAAAATTACTGCTTTCTCTAGGCACCAATGACTCACACCTGTAATCCTAGCTACTACGGAGGCAGAGATCAGGAGGATCACAGTTTGAAGCAACTATTTGCTTGGGCAGATGATTCAAGAGACCCTATCTTGAAAATACTCAACACAAAACAGGGCTGGTGGAGTGGCTAGCAAGCATGAGGTGCTAATTTCAAACCCTAGTACTGCCAGAGAAAAACAATTACTACTTTCTGTTAAAAGTAATTTTGCTAATGTATTATTTTTAAATTGGTACTTAATAGAAAGGAATTCAGTAGCATTCACATAAATGAATTTTAATACTTTTATATAATGTATAATATAACATACACTATATACAATATGAACAGTGTTGGACTGCAAAAGTTCTAGTGATTAGTGTTTATTGGCAGTTCTAAGAACTAGAAGTTATAAAATCATACCATCCTAGGCATCTTTCCATCCCCCCACTTTGGAAATAGAATTTTCTCCATAATTCTCTATAAAAATGAAAATTCTAGCCAGGTGCTGGTGGGTCACGCCTGGATTCCTAGCTACTCAGGAGACAAAGATCAGGAGGATCGTGTTTCAAAGCCAGCCTGGGCAAATAGTTTATGAGACCCTATCTTGAAAAAAACCCATCACAAAAAATTGGGCTGGTGGAGTGGCTCAAGGTGTAGGACCTGAAGTTCAAATCCCCAACACCGCAAAAAAAAAAAAATTATTTTTGGTGGTTCCAGGCTTGAACTCAAGACCTCACACTTGCTAGGCAGGCACTCCACCAGTTGATCCACTCCTTAAGATCATAAAAAATGAAAATTCTTGAGGCTGGGAATGTAGCTCAGTGGTAGAGTATGTGCTTAGCGTGTTCAGGCCCTGGATTTAATTCCCAGCACCCTCCAAAATTCTCATGCTTGCTTTATTGAAAAATACTTCCCATTTTTTACTCATTTGATCAAAATATTTCACTTATTTTAAAAATGGAGGATTAATGTACTTTTTTGTACTAGTTGGGTATTTTTGTTATTGAATACTATTAAGATATTGCTCTAAAATAATTTCCTCTCTAGAAATTAAGATAAAGAAAACAGAAATAAATAGTAATTATTTTCTTTTTTTCTTTGTCTCCTTTCCCAGTTTGGACGTCACAGACTAAACCCAGAAAATAGAACATTGGGGAGTCTTCGGAATGTTCTCTATCTTCTTCACCAACGACTTAAGTGAGCTTTGTAGATGCTTCATATTCTGTCCTCCCTTTTAGCATCCTCCTCTTGGATGCCAGGGAGTGGTTGGATTTGCTTCTCTTTCACTATTGCTAAGGCAGTGACAGCCTCGGAAACTTCTTTCTTGCATGCTGTGCTCAGATATTTCTCAGTTTAAGAGCTTAATGTAATCTGACAGCATTTTGAGAAATTATGGAAAAATTCCTTATGAGCTGCAAATATATAGAACTCCTTCAGAGAGGGAACCCTCCAGGGCTGGGGGTGTAGCTCAGTGGTAGTCTGTGCTTCATATGTGCACAGAAGGGAAGAGAAGGGAAAGGAAAAAGGAAGGGGAGGGGAGGGGAGGGAAGGGGACAGAGAAGGGAAAGAAAGGGAAATGTATCATACCTTTTTTATAAATTTAATATCACAAACACCCTTCACATTGATATATTTGTAGTGACTGCCTAGTTTTCTGTTATATAGTATACCATGGTTTATTTACCCCAGTACAGTTATTGATAGGTACTTAGGTCATTTCCAGATTTTTTCCTTTATAAATATTGCTGAATGAAGAGCCTATAAATTTAGTTTTATACACCTGATTATAATTGTAGAGAAAACTTCCTTTATGGGAAATTATCTGATTAAGGAATTTGAACATAATAAGTTTTGATATTTTATAATTTAAAAAATTTTAAATTTAGATATTGACAAATTAACCAATTTCTGTTTCTGCTGCACTGAGAGAGTTAAGAAAGATGTAGTTGCCAAGAAAGTTAAGAAGGTGATATTAAATGGAAATCTCTGAGGTTACCTACTTTTCAAATCCAGTGTGTTTTCACATGTTTTGTCTTGGTTCTCACTCAACCTTATAGATGTGAAAGGTGATTATATTCCCATTTTGTAGGTCAGGAAGCAGATTTAGAGAAAGAAAGTGACTTGCCCAACACCAGACAGTGTCAGAGCCAGATGTTCAAACTCAGAAGCTCATTAAGCACTCAGGGATGATTATATGAATGGAGATTGTCATTCTGCCTATTAGAATGTTCTTCAATGATGGAAATACCTGTGATGTCAGCAGAGTTGTCACGAGGTGCATGGAACTGCTGAGCATGTGAAATATTCTCAACTGAGAAACCGAATTTTTCATTTTTAAAAGCTTTTAACTGACACCTATGGCTAATGATTAGGTAATCAATGGTGTAGTACCCCATACCAGGCCTCTCCAAACATTTGTGTGATTAGGAATCATATGAGGTTGCAATGCAGATTCATACCTCCTCTCTAGCATGGGTTTGATGGTCTACATAGTTAAACAAACTCTGGCATTTCTAATGTGGGTGGACCTTATCTTGAGGACCACCACAGGTAGAATTTCTTGGGTGAGCATAATTCGATAGTTAGTGAACTAGAAAATCATGGGTCAAATTTTGTCATTACTATTTATCCCATGATTTCTATCAATAATAGGTTTTCACACAAAAACATATAAAATATAGTAATAGCTTCTGACTATAGCACTTGGTTAGTTTTAAGCCTTTTTTTTTTTTTGGCCACATGGGATTTGAACTCACCATCTGACACTTGCTAGGCAAGTGCTCTTACTGCTTGAGCCACTCTGCTAGTTTTTCTTTTCTTTGTTTTTGTTTTGTTTTGTTTTTTGCAGTACTGGGGCTTGAACTGAGGGCCGTCACCTTGAGCAACTCCACCAGCCCAACTTTTTGTGATAGGGTTTTTCGTTAGGGTCTCACAAACTATTTGTCCGGGTTGGCTCCTGAGTAGCTAGGATTACAGGCTTGAGCCACCAGTGCCCGGATAGTTTTAATCTCACAATATGCATGCTGCATATGGCCCTGGAGTTGCTGATGAGCTAGCGTGAGAGATTAATTCTCTTTCAACAAATAGCTTTGGAGAGATCATTTGCTCAGAATTCCGGGTTTTAGCCAAAGCATTCCTCTCTGATGATTCTTAAGGGCTGGTCCCCAGGCTGGCATCATCCTCATCACCTGGGAGCTCATTAAATACAAAAGTTCTTGAGTCTCATCCCAAACTTAACGATTCAGAAACACTAGGAATGGGCCTAGCAATCTGTGTTTTAAGAAGCCCTTTTGGTGGTTCAGATGCTTGCTGTATTTTAACTAGGCTATGGGATCAAAAATATGGGAAGTCTGAGAATCAGACAGAAATTTTTATTTCTGTTTTCCATTTCTATTCAGGGTAGTTGGCAACTTTCCTACCACTTAGGGGCTGTTAAGTTGAAATAACTGAATTGGGAGACCATTAAACTTAAAAGTTCTTAGTTAGATCACAGGTTTTGGCATTAAGATGGTTTAGGTGATTTCAAGATCTGCATCCTATTAGTGGGATATTGCCAGCATTCCACTAATTAATGATCACTATAAAAACTATTGATGGCCCATGAATACTAAACTTTATCAGCCCCCAAATGCCTTTAAAGCTAAGAAGTACTTTGACAGCAGAAGTCTGTATTGAAATTTAAAATCTCCATTGTGTTTGATCCCAAGGTAAAACTATCAAAGAAGCTATCAGGGTAGCCTATTTCTCTGATGCAAGAGTTGACTTTTACAAAGAAAACTTGTTTTTTTCCAACCTTTTTCCTTTTAGGCGTTTTGGAATCATGGGACTCTACAAAGGCCTTGAGGCCAAATTGCTTCAGACAGTCCTCACTGCTGCTCTCATGTTCCTTGTTTATGAGAAACTGACAGCTGCTACCTTTACCATAATGGGGCTGAAGAATGCACACAAGCACTGAGATGCCACAGGAAAGTGTGAAGATGCTCCAGATGCAGGGTTTCCATCCAGTGAGGAGAATCAATTCTCCTGCTCTGGCTCCTTCCACTGTAAATGTCACCCTGATTGGCTGAAAAAGCTCCAAAGGGTAAACAGGGAGTATAGCTAGGCAGCTGGACCTGTTGCCAACTTCATTTGTATGATGGCTGGTTGAATTTAGGTGTGGTGGTTGGACTAATATGAAAAGAAAACATTGAAGAACCTAAAAATGAAAAATTGTGGAGTTTATTGGTTTTCTTAAAGGGGGTGGCATTAATCTCATATGGAGTCTTTTTCCCTTTGAAGTTTTTCTTAAATTTGCCAGCTGTTCTCATTCCCTGAAGGCTCTCCCAGGTTCTAGGACAAATTCAGTAACATGTAATTCTCCTCAGATACTTTTACATGTCCTAATCTTGGTATTCTCCTCACTAAAAATAATATCATGACTGTGCCATTTTTGTTGGGCTTTTTCTCTCCTGCTTAAAGAGAATTAAGTAAGCTATTTATTTTGTGGGGGAAATGAAAATTATTAATCACAAATGACTGCCTTATAAACTATTTATAAATGTCACTTATTAGTATTTGACATAATTTTTAAAAATATTTATTTTGAATCAATCTTTTATTACAAAAGACTTGAGGTTTTATGTCCATTAATATAAGCTCCAATCACTTAAGCCCCAATAAATTGTCAGCACAAAAGATGTCCTTGAAGGTTTCTCTTTATTAAGGTATTACATTGGGTGTACAACCAGATGGTAAAAATCACAGAGAAGGGCAGGGAGCAAATAACTTATGTAGTCTCTGGAATATTATCTCCTTTTATAGAGTCTGGGTGGAGGCTGTGTATTTTGAGAAACAGTTGCTGGAGGTTATTTCTATATGGAAATATTCCTCAGACTCCTACTACTCAAAGTGTGGTCCATCAAACAGTAGCATTGATACCAGCTTAGAGCTTGTTGGGCTTGCAGCCCAGACCTTCTGGATCATATTCTGCAATTTAGCAAGATCCCTAGGTGATTCATAACTACGTTAAAGTTCAAGAGACCTTAGGGCTCCTGGCTTAACAGAAGGTAGGATCGGTTTCAATTGTATAAACCAAGGTAAAGACTTTTCTCAAAGGAAAGCTAAACTAATGTATGAAGAGAGCCTCTGAAAACTCTAGGAGTCCTTTGTCATCATTCAGTTTCCCCAGTGCACATAGCTAGGAATGGATGTAGGCATTTTAAGCCACCCAAGAAGCAAATTCTCTTGACATTAGTAGAGTAACTCTTTGGATTCCTATGATTTGGTTTTTGTCCCTCTAACAAGAGTGGCAGGTTTTTCACTTATAAGTCTATGATTCAGTCAGAGAGAGAAATTATGAGTTGTCTGTGGGCTCCAATATTTAGTTCAATTTTGAGAGTGGAAATTTCTCTCCCTTGTTTCCCCTTCTTAGTCCCTGTGGTAATTTCAAAGTATGTGATTATTAAACTAGCAATAATTGAAGCATTATGTTGTTTTAGAAAATAAGAATAAGGAGTAACTAAACTGAACACTTACTCCCTCTTTAAGCCAAAGAATTGGCTCCTTACTACTTTTTATTTTACTTTAAGATTTTATTATGTCTATCTCGGGCCTTGAGTGGCAAATGCAAAACTATTGTTTGGATTTCTATACAGGAGGAAAATGAGTATAATGGGCTGGTAGTGGTTTTTGTTTTTTGTTTTTTTGTTGTTAATCATGTTGTTTGCTTTGAAACTTGAAGTTTGAGCTCAAGGTATTATGGTTGGTTTGTTAGAATAACTTCTAAACCAAATTTTATAGCTATATTAGGTGTTTATGATGGGAGAGTGTATTTGATGCTTCTTTTTTTGCTTTTATGAAAGAACAATTTAATATTGACCCTGTGGAAGCTTATAGACTCACTAATTGAATCTAGGTTATAATTCACCTAGTTTTGTAACCTTTGGTTAATAATAAGTTGGTTGAGAATACCGAAGAGCTGAAGTCCATACTAAGGAAGTGGAAATTTTTTGGTTTTGATTCTTTGTGCAGCTTCTCTAGAATAAGAGAATTAAGAACCTTAGAGATTATATTAGTGTCTTTGCAGTAGAAATTTTAATTTCTATAAGTGTTTAATCTCTCTTTTGAAGTGGACACTGTAATATTTGTGCCCTTGTCTATTTTACTATTAATTTTGAAGTGCTGAAATAGAATTTATCATGAGCAGCATAAACAGTGGGAGTTAGAAATCTTGGGTTTTATTCCCAGCTTTGCCACTGACTAACAAATTACATCATCTCCTTGTGCTTCAGCTCTTTGATAAGTGGAGATAATAATACTTACTACCCACTTCAGAGGATATGTGAGAGCTAATGATGTCAGCTAAATCCCTTTATGATCGTGGGATAGGGAAGATCTGAGTGAAACTTGTGGCAATGCCTAGATTTATATTGCAATTTTCCTTTTTAAAGCTTCTACACTTTCTCATTTTATAATCCCAATATCTCTGTGAAATAGGTAGGGACCAGTAATAATATCCCCATTTAATTAACAAGGAAATTGAGACAGAACTATCTAATGACTTGCCAGGACTAGAGTTGAATTTCCTACAATCTGGTAGAAGATTAAGAGAATGGGTTCTAGAATGAAACAGACTTCCATTCAAACTCTGGCCTTCCAGCTGCAGGAAAAAAAAAAAAAATTACAGAACTTTTATAGGAAGCTCAGTTTCCTCAGCTGTGGAATTGAGATCTTGATAAACCTAGCTATTGGGGTGATTTTGAGAATTAAATGAAGTCATATAAATTGTTCAGCACACTGCTTGCCACATGAGAAGAGCTAGGGATGTAGCTGTTTGAGTAAATATAATGATGGCCTAGTCGAGGGCACTGTGGATTTTGAGCCAGACCTGGGTTCCAGTTTTCATTCCGTTGGATCTGGGAACCTAAGGGACAGATGAGTGAGTCAGTATCCTATCCCCCATGGACAGCACTATGAGCCCTGCCCCTGAGATGGCGTTACATGGCCTCATAAATCTGCCACAGGGCTGGTAAACAGAATGCTCTCAAGGTTGCTTCCCCCCATAAGGGGCAAACAGACCAGTTCATCAAAGAGAGCCTGCACACAAATCCACGGACAATGAAAAGAACCCACCTAACCCTTACCCTAACCCAGAGTTAAAGTGTCCATAAAAAGCCCCAGCCTTCACAGGGAGCTACCGATTTTCCGGGCTCCCTGTCCATCTCTAAGGACAGCTTTTCCTTTCTCTCTGTGTGCCGACCTTGTTGTCTCACGAGCCAATCCGCTGCCTCACGAGCCAATTCTTTGTGGCCTGTGGAGGCAAGAACTCTCGATACCAGCCCGCAACAATTCTATCATGTATAATAACTTTTCTGAGCCTTTGTGCCCTCCATCAATAGAAATAATTACTTCAGAAGGCTGTTCTGAGGATTAAGGGGGTGGGGGGCGTGCGTTAGAGAACCTGGCATAGTATTTGGCACATGCTTAACAAATGCTATTTGAACCAAGAAAATCAGTGTTTTTACTTTGATGCACCTTTTCTTCTTTCCATTTGTTTTATTGTGAATATTTATCTTCTGGGATCCTTTCAGTTTGTCTTTTCCAAAAAGAGAAGCCAAATACTTGGTTCAGCAGCAAAATTACTAAAATTGGAATGATACAGAGAGGATTGGCAATGACCCCTGTGCAAGAGTGACACAAATTTATGGAGTGTTCATGTTTTGTTTTGTTTTACTAGAGCCAACAATAGGTACAGAATATTTGTCACAAATAGAGAACCTCCCCCAAAGAAAGAGAGAAGGGAAGCCAAATTCAGTGATTTTATATTTTACTTGGTATTCAAATTAAGTCTCCCCAAAACTTAACATTTATTCAGTAAAACATAAAATAGTTCACTAGTAGAAAGCCACTGGCTGTAAGGCTAGTGACTTACCTTGGCTCTTTTGAAAAGCTGAAGAATAGTGACTTTATAAAGCCAAATGCCACACATCTAAGGAGAGCCTTCCTACGGGCAGGTGAATTATTTACCTGACAGTGTTGAGTGCTGAGAATACCAAATACATAGAAAGGCTCATTTGTAGGGCATTTATGTATTGTATACAATAAATGGTTGATTAAAATCCTGTAGGCTTTTTGAGGAACTGCTGTACTGCTTTCCATAGTGGCTATACGATTACATTCCTACCAACAATAACAAGGGTTCCAGTTTCTCCACATCCTAGGTTTTTAATATTACCTATCCTGATAGGTATTGATTTGCATTTCTGTAATGATTACTGATGTTGAGCATTTTCCTTTGTGTGTGTGTGGGTGTGTGTGTGTGTGTGTGTGTGTGTGTGTGTATGTGTGTGTGCCATTTGTATATGTTCTTTGTAGAAAGGTGTGTCAAGGCTTTGCCTTTTGTGTGTGTGTGTGGGTGGGACTGAGGTTTGAACTCGGGACTTTGCACTTGGAAAGCAAGTGCTCTACTGCTTGAGCCATACCTCCAGTCCAAGGCATTGCCCATTTTGGAATTGATTTGTTTGGGGTTTTTTGTTGTTAAGTTTTAACAGTTCTCTTTATGTGTTCCTTATCAGATAGACAATTATTTTCTCCCATTCTGTGGGTTTTATTTTTATTGTGCTGATTTTGTTTTTGTTTTTTGGTGTTTGAGATTAAATTCCGGGCAGCTGTTGATGTTTTTGATGCACAAATTTTTAGAATCTTCATGACATCCAATTTGTCTGTTTTTTTCTTTTGTTTCATGTACTTTTGATATCATACCTAAGAAATCATTTTCAAATCCAAAGTTGTGAAGCTTTTGCCCCATTTTCTTCTAAGAGTTTTATAGTTTTAGGTCACATTCAGGTCTTTGATCCATTTTGAGCTAATTTTTTGTGTGTGATGTCAGAATATGGATCCAACTTCATTCGATTGTATGTGGATATCTAGTTTTCTCAGTACCACTATTTGAGGTTTCTCTCTGAATACTTTATCTTGTATTTGTTAGTGTATTGAAAATTATCCAAGTACCCAGAATGGTGGCTCACACTTATAATCCCAGAACTTGAGATGAAGAGGCAGGAAGATCCCAAGTTCAAGGCCAGCCTGGGTTACAAACCTGGGCTATAGAGTGAGACCCTGTCTCCAAAAACAAACAAAAATTATAGAAGCAGTGAATACTCAAGACAAAGAAAAAAATTTCAAATTAAGAAAATACTCTTCTTTTTAATTTGCAACTAGTTTGTATATATTTAAATATTTTTGTTGGTTTTTAGGGGGTTTTTTTGGTGGTACTGGGATTTGAACTCAGGGCCTCATGCTTGCTAGGTAGGTACTGTACCACTTGAGCCACACTTCTAGCCCCTAAAGATTTTTTTTTTTTAATAGATAGGTTCTCATATTGTCCAGGCTGGCCTCTAATTCCTGGGCTCAAACAGTCTTCCCACCTCATCCTCCCAAGTAGCTGGTGTTACAGGTTAACCACTACACCTGGTTCTTACTTTTACACTGTATAGATGGAAAATTGAGGCACAGGTCTGATTTAGGTCACACAGCAAAGGATTGGGAATCTTCTGATGGTATACCTAATACTCTTACACTTGTCTTTCTCCTTACGGGGTATCTGTATTTTCTAATTTGGCTTAAATATTTTTGTCCTTAGTTTTTTTCGTAATTCTCTCCTTTGGGCCCGGTTCCATGTCTGCACAGCCTCCTAGCTCATTTGTCTTTGTTAGATGGCTATTTCTGAACTTCCTGTTCATCATTTTATTAATCACTCTGAACCACAGGGTTACAT